GGGAGACCAAAGGGTCTGAAAAACAAATTAATTCTGGTGCACAGTCAGTAGCAGACTGTTTTGGGTGCAACTACAGCAACTTTGTTTGCAACAATAAGAATCTGAGTTGTTTTCCTCTTTCCTTAACTTCTGTACAGTAAAGGTGAGGAGTAGCTATTGAGTTACTTCTTCCTATATGCTGTTAGCCAGATTAGCATTGATTTCAAAACAAACCTGAGTGGAATGGAAAGCCACACCATTTTGGTATCACTAGCAAAGTTCTAAATTTACAGTTACACTTCAATAAAACCTTTTGCTGCGGTCTAGAAGAAAAAGAAAATTATCGTAACGCCAGACTAGTAAAATTCATTAGTTAGAGCACAACCTCATTACCTGTGTGATGAGCAAAATTCATTTCAGCATTCAGGATTTACATTTTAAAGCTAACAGACAGCAGATCTAGTGCCATCCATAGGAACAGACGAACTATAATACTGAATTTGGTACAAAGATTTAATACCAGCAAATTTGGTCAGTTTCAAGTAGAGCTACCTTGTGGGGAAGAAAGAGCTAAGTCAGAGTGTGCTCATTTTCTGCACTATCCTTCAACATTTAAACCTGGGATCTACAGAAATCAACCACATTGGGTAAAAATCACTTAGCAGCACATCATCCATTGTAGAAATGGACAGAAGCAGAGCATCCACTGAATGGGCTACAATATAGAGAATGTGTAGAAAGTGCCCTGAATTTAAACTACCTATTAAAGAGTGGGGACATGAATAGAGAATATCACCGCAATTTCCACAGCTCGGCCCTGGACTAGAAGGTAGCAAATTGTTTCTGAAACTGAAGCGAGTTTCCAAAACTACCTGTGGACATTCAGTAGATCCTTCATCTCACGTTTATTACGTGAAGTACAATAGATTCTCGCCAGATTAGAACAGACAAAGCAGAGATTTGTGTTTGGCTTGTTAGGTAAATGCATTTTCTCCAGTTGTAGAAAAACTCTTCCACCAACATAAAGTCTTATGCAACAAAGGAAATGTTAATACATTTGCTTAGTCTAATTATTACTTTCACTAGATAGCCAATTTTTTACTACAATTCAAATAAGATGAACACAATGGGTGGCTATTTATAAAGAAGAGTAATAAAGATCATCATTTGGGGCAATAAAAGAGAGAGAGATTCAGCAAACAGTTGCTTACAAGTGGAAAACTTAGTGAAACTACAGTGACCCCCTCCTTGACAGGATCAATGCCACAGTTGAGCTTTAGCCAGCCACATCATCATGTAAATTGCTTTCCTGATAAGCCAGCTCATAAATTCTGTTTGCAAAGCTCTGCTATTTACCAGAAGTCTGCCTATAGACAGAAAGATGGCATTTAATGGTACTTGGAAAGTAGAGAAAAATGAAAACTATGAAAAATTCATGGAAGCGATGGGTAAGCCTTACTTTTTGAAAGCCGGAATACAAACTTAAGCTGTTCATGAGCTACCATCTGGCTGACCTGGCCTTTGTTGTCTGCTACTTTGCCCTTGCACGTTGCCCAGCATTTATTTTCAAAAGATTCTATAGAGGGGAATACAGGGTAGAAAAACACTGATTTTATTTGCATTGTGATAATCTTATGCATTTAGCTAATCCCAGCAGAGGCATTTCAGCAGAATCTCCACGTCCACATTTGTGGAAAAGGCTCAGAGAATTTGAATGGTAAACTTTAAACGGAATTATATGTAAGGAATATTATTTTGATCAGACTGTTTGAAAAATTACACAAGAAGGAAATTGTTGGTCTCCATTTTTGCAGAACACGTGATTTGAGTAATTTTAACATGTTAGTGCTTATTTTAAGCTTGTACAAACTGTGTGTAATATGGATATAAAATCATCCTAGTTGGATGGTGGTTTGTATTACATGTGTACTGCTGAACACTGCCTCAATGAAAGGTGGAGAAGAATAAGATTGAGTTAGAATTCTGGGCTAAGCTCCCTCAACTAAAGAAAAAGTCATGAAAAAAATGCAAAAATGATGTTCTAATTTGTTTTTCTCTGATTGATGTTAACTGATTTTTTTTTAGGCGTTAACGTGATGAAAAGAAAGTTAGGAGCCCATGATAATCTGAAGATCACAATTCAGCAAAATGGAAATAAATTTCTTGTCAAAGAATCAAGCAACTTCCGTACCATCGACATTGAATTCACTCTGGGAGTCAGCTTTGAATACAGTCTGGCTGATGGGACTGAACTTTCAGTAAGAGACTTTTGATATCATTATATATTCATTGAATAGCAATAACTTTACAAAGTACAGTTTCAAGATTAATGACCTGTCTTCCTAAGTTCCAGTTTAAACTTGGCTTTAAGGTCTGACAGTCCAGGCACGCTTGCACCCTATATACAAAATCACAGATTAGCCTTAACTGTTAATGGTTCAGCATTGTGACAGGAAGCTCAGGGATCCATACAGTGCCCCAAAAAGCAGAGCATCCAGCAATTTTCACATGCTGAAATCCAGGCAATTGCAAACTTTACTTCTTACAATAACCAAGTACACCATCTAGAGCACAGTGTGGGTATCTGTAAGAAATGAACCATACCAACAGAGAAAGAGATCACCTGAGCCTGACAAAAGAGCAGTTAAATAAGCTTTTTTCTAGTATTTAACTTTTTATAGCCTTTCCAATTGTGTCCTAAAAAACATTATTACACTGTTTTAATCTCATCTTAAAGCACTTCTGCAGCTGTTGAATCAAATCAGTGCCATGTTTATTGCAAAACATTTGTGGGTTGTTTTTTTTCCATTGTAGGGTTCTTGGAACTTGGAAGGAAATAAACTCGTAGGAACATTTACTAGAAAAGATAATGGAAAAGTACTCACAGCATATAGAGAAATTGTAGGCAGTGAACTCGTCCAGGTGAGTTGCGCAGTCGCTTAGACACAATGTGGGAATGCAATAACTGAAAACATTCTCAGAGATATCCTGAAAGTCCAGAATGTTTTTCGCAAACCAAATAACCTTGCTTATCTTCAGATAAAATTCTCAAATCTACTAAAAGTATTAAAAGCTAGAGCTTTGGAATTCAGAACATAAAACTGGCAATGTGTGATTTCCTACCTGGGTGGTAGGTATCAACAAGTCTAAAATCTGTGAATACAAGCTGTATGTAGAAGCCATATACATACTCCCTGAGGGCCCTTTTTTGCCTTCTAAAGTCATGCTATAGGAGTTTTCCCAAGGATAACATTCTCAGCAGCTGACACAGAGCAGGAAGCTAAAGACAAAAGAAAAACCTTCCATAGCTCTCTGACCAGCTGGTCACAAACTTCTTAAATAAATAGCCCTCCAATGGACAGGTGTGAGCTCTGAGCTATCAGAACATAACAGGCCAACTCTTTCTCACATTTCTAATAAAAGCAAGCACATAAGTGACACCTGGGAATATTTCAACACTTTAGGAGTTTTTGTTTGTTTGGTTGGTTTGTTTTTGAAAGAACTGTCCAGTGGTGGTTCAAATGTTTCCATAGAGAATTTATACCTACTGACAACAGGCTGCTTTCCTTCTGTTCCTTTCCTCAGAGCCCTTCCAAAGGCTTTTAGGCCCCCACATGGCCACCTGCCATAATTAATTAAACCACCTCTGACCACAACACCTGTGAAATGAAATTTTATAATAGCAGTCACTGATTTTTCTTCTTAATTTCTGAACAGACCTATGTGTATGAAGGAGTTGAAGCCAAGAGAATCTTCAAAAAGGAGTAAATACTTTACCCAGAACAGCACTGGAATCAAAATCCTATTTAAAAAAAAAGACAATTTTTCTACATATACTTTTCTTTTTTTTTTAATCTCCTCACAGCACCTCCTATATTGTGATTATTCAGCCCTAATGAAAACACAAGTTTACATTTAGTATTTTACCTTGAATTTAAAAAAAAAAAGAAAAAATCCAGTTAAAATTTGAAACAAAGACTAAAAAGTTACTTGTAGGAAGTCTTACCCGAGTAACATACTGTAAAATGCTGCCAAAACTATTTTCTATAATCAAAACTTCAATATTTTTGCACTGGTTCTTGAATAGCAACTTAACTTCCTTACCATGACATTTGTAGTGACAAATGGTTTCTTTGTGTATGGAGTATCGTGTAATAAGAATGGTAAAGCTTAAGAGCCCCCTGACAACAAGCAAGTCTCAAAAACTGTTATATGAAAATAGAAATATACAGTAAATAAAAAAATATGCTCTGATAATACAGCGCACTTTGTTGTTTTAAATCGCATCTCTGATACCTTGCTGACGTCAACAAGAGCAGCATCAAGCACTTACTGACAAGAGACAGATATCTCACATTGCAATTTTATAAGTTGGGTTTAAAAACTATGGCAATGCTTTGAAAGCATACAGGCTTGAGCTGTCCCCATTTATTGAGAGTCAAAGTCATTCTGTCAAGAAAAGTACTGGCAGCTCTGAGTGATTTTCTTTCAGGACATGAATGAAAATATTCAAGGAGTCTTAACTAGACAAAAAATGAGTTCAGATTAAGCTGACTTCACATGCAGTGCCTCTGATGGGTAAAAAACAGGCACCACATTCTGCTCATGCTGTTTATTCTGCAGCTGCTAAATTCAACCCAGCCTCAACCCCCTGCAACAGTGCTATTTCCTAACGCCCTCTGAGGGCCAGCACTCTGCCCCGTGCTTATTTCTGCTTCTTAATGGGCACAGTTACACTTTGATTTTAACGGCTTTTTTTTTTTTTTTTTTTTTCCTAAGTAATTGCTTAAGTTTGCCCCACTCTCCTTTACTTTCCGCTGGGAACAAAAGAACTGAACAAAACCTTTCACCCTTCGGTTACTTCTTTAGCCTTTCTGGCCTACGCTCAGGGCTCCCCCTGCTGGCACCACGCCCTCATGGCGCGAACAGGATTCCACTCGAGACAATGACGCAACTCATTTCCTTATAAATTGGGATTTCCCCGCCTGCCAGATATTGATCGTAATAGATAGTCTGCTCACCCTTCTACACAGCGAAGCTGCCTGCAGCCCTTGCAATGCTGGTGGAGCTGTCGGGTCTCAGCGCAGTGCAGCTCTGTGCGCTGGGAGCTCCCCTCACAGCATAAGCCACCCACACGGCTTTCTGCGCTCTTAGGGAGCACGACTAGGTTTCCACGGTAAGCGCGCGTCTCAGAACAGCTTCCAGTTTTCCCGCCTATCTTCACAGCAGCATTTCCGAGCTCATCCTTTAGCTTTCTCCAGGAAGCCACAACAAGAATTTGTGTACGCTCCCACTCCAGTCCTGCCGTGGTTTAAGACGCAAGGCCAACGTGACGGGCGGGGGCTGATGTCTGTTTTCCACACATCTGACGGGGCACGCCGAGTGCCGGCAGGGAGCCGCGACCAGCAGAGCCTACGGAACAGTGCAGGAACGGCACCGGCTCCGAGCCGGCCTCCCAAGGCATGACTCTTCTCGGCAGCAGCGGAGGCGGGACTTCCCTCTTAGCCTATCTTTACCACACCGACCCGGGGCCCCGCCAACTCCTCAGCGGCAGGGCTACCCGACAGATAGGGGGCAGAGAAGCCGTGGACAACTGCGGTATTCCGACCGCTGCGCGGCGCAGAGCTGTATAGCGCGGCCGCAGATAACGCCACAGCGAACACCACAGGCGACTCCGAGCTCGCGCCGGGCAGCAGCAAACCGCCAGCACCGGGGCGGACCGCGCGTCACGCGGTAAGGGCGGTGCCCGCGCGGGGGCGTGGCGGCGGTACGTGCGCTCCGCTCCCATTGGCTGCCCACCCGGAAGCGCAGCGAGCGTCTGCGCGCCGCGTACCGCGCCGAGCCTGTCGCGGCGGCCGCTCCGTGCCGAGGAGATGGAGGCGGCCGTGCGGCGGCGCCCGCAGCCCGAGGGGCAAAGCGCGGCGAATGGAGAGCGGCCGCCGGCCTTGTCGGGGCAGTCCTACTGGCTGGACCTGTGGCTCTTCGTCCTCTTCGACGTGGCGCTCTTCGTATTTATCTACCTGCTGCCCTGATGGGCCGGGCCCAGGTCAGTCGGGGCGAGGCCGGAGCGGGGCGGGTCCCCTCCAGGCGGCAACGGGGTTGGCAACCGAGTGCCGTGTTGTCCCGCTCGCCGTGAAACGAACGTCTCGCAGTCGAGTCCGTCACCTCCCGCCTGAGCGCCCTCTCGCACTGGCTACTGCTGCCACGCGGGACAATCTGCTGCGACACGGGGGTTTCGGGTTAATGAGCCGTGAAGCAGAGGCCGAGATTCACGGACAAAGAGCGGTAAATGCAGATGTAATTCAGAACAACTAGCAGCTTGGCTTCTTTCGACAAAAGCACTTCACTTTGTATGTCGGGCAGTACACTGGATGCAGCTTTCATGCTAGCTGCATCTCCCAAAGGCTGTACAGCTCTGAAAGTAACCAGAGCTTTCTTTTTTCCACAGAGCTCGTGGATCAGGAATCACTGGATGCACCTTCGGAACACAAGCAGGACCATTTGGAGGAAAAGCATTTGCACAGCACAGACAGCAATGGAGAACGAGACTTCCATTGATGGAAAGGCAGGAGGCTCCTGAGCTGGAGAGACGTGTGCATGCTGTATTGCTGTACAGCAATATATATTGCTGTATATTGCAATGTATATTGCAAGTATGGTCTTTAGGATCGTGCCTGTATCTTGCCTTTCCATGTTCTAAATTGTGCCTTTCAGGACAGGAGACAGCTTGACTGTGCTTTTGTAATTTGCTTGAAGAATATAAATGAAAATATGCACTGTTTGAATAAAATCCAGCAGAGACTGAAATTGTTACTGACTTGTTTGTTCAAAAGATGAAACTTAGCCCATTTGTCTTGCTTTTGAAAAATTTACCTCTCTCTGTACAGGAGTGCATGCAAGATTCTTGCTTCAGCAGTTACTGTGCCAGTGCACAGTAGCTGCTGCCCTCACCTGCTGATTTACATAATACAAGTTTTGATTTCCTTGCTACAGGCAGTGAAGGAAGAGTGCTCTTGTAAGCTCCTTAGGCAATTGCCAGGCTTCACATACCCACTCCCCTCAAAAATTTCTAAGTCTCTGTTTTTGAAAGCCTCATTATAGGCAATGTTGCATCAGTGAACATCTTGAATGCTCAATTTGCTTGCTAGACCAATCAGGTTTTTAGGAAGACTGTGGCTGAAGGCAGTTCAGTATCTCTATTCTTTATTTTCACCTTACTGATAATTTGAGAGGTATAATTTGATTTTTCAGAAATATAAAATGTAACTGGATTTCTGAGTTCGGTTGATCCAGTATTTTCTGACACCACCTGACAGGAACTTATTTTCATTTAATACAATATTCAGGACACAGAATTAGGTATGCATGCTCTATTTTCTTTTTTTTTTTTTTCATTCTTAAGCAGTTCTGTATTGATGCTGATTTTCATTACATATCCAACTTGTGTATTCAGAAATAAGACTGATGCTTTAAGAACTGAGTTACCGTTAACTGCTAGTGTTTATGACCTATGAAAATGGCAGTAGCTTAAAATCACAGGGAAAAAAAAAGTGAACAGGGCTTGGATTCTCACAAATAGGAAAATGGTTTCCTTTTTATTCTTCTACAGCTGAACTGAACTTATTATAGAGGTAAGTTTACTTTTGTTTCCCCTCCTCCCCCCAGAGATTTCACTGTAAAATCGCAAAGGAACAAGCTACTAGAGAAACACTAAAGCTGCTTCATTTCTCCTGTGTAAGGAAGACTGTTGAGAATAAATCCTGACAATTTTGACAGAAGAGCCATTAGGTTAAGAGAACGCAATGTAGTGATTTAGTTTTTTCTTTCAATTGAGTCTGAAAGAGAAGGTTTTACATATCTCAGAAAACTTAAAAGCTATCAAAGCACAGGCATGTGCTGCTTTGAGCTCAAGCTATTTCATAGCTTGAATAACAGCATCAAGACAACCTTCATTTATAACTAGGTACAGCAAAACTGTACTATATTATATACTATATAGTACAGTATATTATATAGACTATATTAGAAAGCCTACTATAAACCAGTACTTCAGGTGATGAATTTTACTGTTTAAATATGGTCACAGCTTTAAAGCTTTCAAGCATTACTATTAGCTATCATTTTTTAGAAGTGTGGTTCTGGAAAGCCAGGGTGGGGTTTCATTGTTGCAGGTTTACTTCTTGTTTTTAAGGAAAGCGCAGCATACAAAAAGAATACAGACAAAGATATTTTATATTTTTATCTGATAATCTGAACAAGCAGAACTTTGCAAGAAAATAATTCTACAGACTGAAAAATATATTAATTACAAGACTTATTAATGTATTTACTGTTAAAAATATGTCTAGGCTCTTATACAAATCTATAGCCAGGAGGGGATATTTATAAAAAAATAAATAGGCACCCTACGTAAGTCAAGACAAGTTATCACTTATTTGTTAGCAAACATTACATACATACATACATGGAGTGCAGAGTCAAATATAAAAACAAAGGTGTCTTAATTAACTGTTCTACTATTATAATTAAACACCTGGTAAACATGGGTCATGTAAAAAGTCGTCTGGTAAGATTGTTTCAAGCAAAGCAAGGAGACAGAAGTACATCTAAACTACTGCATCTACTTTAAAAATAAGTTTTACCAGTTGTTTGGAAACCAAATTCATTGGCATCAGTAACAGGCATTCATATTGCTTATTGTACACAAGTATGAACATTGCTATGCATGTTTAAAAATAACTGTTATAACATCATTCACAGTTGTTGCTGTGCTATTTATACATAAAAATACTGTCATTTCAAATACAATTTCTGCAAACATTTTACAAATTATACATTATTTACAAATTCCAAACTCCTCTGTTTGTTTGTTTGTTTTTTACACAAGTATTAGAAGACAGCTTTACTCAAATGTTATGTATAGCATATAACATTGCTGTAGGAACATTAGAAAAAAATTAGTTTACAAGTTTTGAAATCTCTTTCAAAAATAAGACAACTAGGAATCTTCCAAGGTTTTTCACACTCAAGGCTTTTTCTCTGGTTTGTTTACAAAAAGATACTGAAGTTTACCACCAACCATTCCTAAACATGCATAATTATTTGCTACAAACTCCAGAATTCATTTCTCAAGTGCTATAAATTCTCATCAATAAGGTAAAAAGGTTCATCTAAGATACCTGGTTTGTTGCATATGTTGTGTTCCAGTTTCACTACAAGTTACAAGTAGTTTAAAACACTGACCATGAAGAATAACCAAATGTGTAACTTTGTTCATTGTTAGAGTTCAACCAAATGTCAATATTTGGTTGAAGCACTAAAGCTCAGACATAAGGTGTATAAACATAAAAAAAGCCTTTCTGACTAGCAGTGCAAGCATAAGCAAGAGTGTTTTCCATGAATATTTAACCTGCTTGCTATATTTTCCTAACTAAAAGGCATTTATGTTTAGATATAGTCAGCAGCACCCCATTTGTAAGATAAAACTAACAGAAATCATTAAAAAATTCAGCCTTTCCAGATTAATTTTAAGTTATACATTACTTAGAATAGACTGAAACAGAACTCTAAGCCTACGCTTCTGACTCAGCAACACAGTGGGTTATTTCAAACACTCAGGGCTGCCATGAGGGTAAAATCCTGTTCACCCACCTCCCACCTGTGCACTGATTTAACATATAATCAAATAAAAGATAAATTAAACTTCTCTTCTGCATTTTTACTGAATTAAGTCGGACTAGCGAAAGACACAGTAAATGCCAAACCAGCCAAAACAGCAGGGCAGAGTGCTAGAACAGAGGAAGAAGCTTTTTCTTCATGCTACTCCAGTCTGAACAGCTGCAGGATCAGTCACACTTAATTGCTATGACAGTACTTAACTATTTGTAGAATTGTTTCAAAGAGGTAAAGTTTGTCAGTAAAATCATGTATAATCCCCACTAAATGTTGCCAAAACATCAAGCTGAAAAGGTAAGTTCAATAAATAACAACAACCTCCCTAGGGACACTTATCTAGCATGCTGTCTAGCATCTCGAAAGAGTCCAATAACAGGTTTTCAAGATGTGGCTGAACAGATCACTAGATTATCTCAAAGGCCCCTTTTCTCAAAAAAAAAAATTAAAAATTGGACATGATTATCTTCTGAGATCCATTCCAACCTGGGTTTGGACTGGTCTTTGATTCCATGATTCTGAAACATTGTAAAAATACGCATTTGAAAGTTGTATAGTAACTCTGTATTTTAAAATTAGCATCGCTACTGCTCTGTCTGTAGTTTATGTAACTGAATTTCAGTAAGGATACAGCTTACAGGATAAACAAATCTGATAAGCAAGTTTAAGAATTTGTACAGAGCAGGTATATTAAAAGAACAGCATTACCATAGTTTATTTACTTGTCATGACTGCTGCACAGTATTGAGCAGGGGAGGCAGGAACAAAGCAGGACAGCCCAGGGAGCCCTGCTCTTTGCTGCCTTGCAGCACTGGCAGCTTTAGGGCTTTGCTGGACTCCTTGTGCTCTGCTGGTGCCTCAGGAAAAGAAGACATAAGCTGGTTAGCAGCAGGAAGCAGGATAGTTCCCCAGGTTAGGAGGACAAGAAGGACAAAGAGGCAGACAACAGCTCCAATGAGAAAAGCAACATGGGCAGAGTTTGGGCCAAGAGCACATCGTGGCCAGTACTGTACATGGCTGACAAGTGCCAAGTAGTGGAACAGCTGGTGTACAATCATCTTTGGACCTGCCAAGGATGCTTCTTGCCACAGCTTCACACTCTGGCTTCAGCAAGACATTAGGGTGACCTGTGTCTGAAGGACAGAGAGCCCATGAAGAAAGTGTGCCTGCCCACAGCTCTGAGGCCTCCCCCAAGGTATGTCTTCAACCACAGAGGAGATACCAGCAAGGAAGTCCTGCCTCCATCTGGAGTGCACCTTCACAAGGAAGCATCTGCTAAGGGATGTGCTGTGTTTTCTCCACCACACTCAGAGCAAGCTGAGAGTGAAGCAGGAGCCCAGCCACTTCGACACCTTCTGTGAGGACTCCTACCTGTATGTGGAGAAAAACCACCCACTAATTCCAGAACCAGGTAACAGCAGCTTGGAGGCCTGTTGCATGATTGCTGCCAGACAGTGCAGCCCTCTCACAGCTCCTTCAAGACTGAGCTCACCACTTCCTCCATTGAAATGATGTTTAGGGTACAGCTCCACGACATGGACCTGTTCCTGAGCATTAAGCAGGCTGATGCCAGCTTCAGCAGCAGCACAGCATAAGCCAGAAATCTATGCTGGGGCAGCAATTCAGTCTGTTGGGCACACAGCCAGGTGTGTCCAGCACCACAGCTTCCACCGCCAACTATCTGCAGTCTTGCACTTGTCTGCTCATGGGCACAAGTTTCCCGCCCCCCCCCCCCCCGGCCCCCCCCCCCCAAAGCCCTGAAGACAGTTCACAGAATCACAGAAACACCAAGGTCAGTATAAGACCTTCACGATCATCCAGTCCAACCATCCACCTGTCACCAATAGTTCTCATTAAACCACATCCCTCAACACAAAATGCAAACATTCCTTGAACACCTCCAGGGTTGGTGACTTCACCGCCCCCACCCCCCTGCCAGGCAGCCCATTCCACTGCCTGACCGCTCTATCAGAAAAGCAGTATTTCCTAACATCCAGCCTAAATCTCCCCTGGCACAGCCTGAAGCCATAGTTCACAGTTGTGATTTGCCACCTGACAACCACAGCTCCCATCAAGCCTGACACATAAGGGATTGACAATGTGGCACAACGATCTACTGCAGCACCTTTGCTGCTTCCTAAAGAAATGCCTCAACTGCTTCCTTAGGCCACCACAGGGTGCCTGAGGACACGGGTCTTATCTTGGCCTTCTGAACAGCTGGTCTGCTCAACATCTTCCAGCAAGCTACCCACAACCAGGTGTTGCTTAAATTCACGGAGCTGTGAGATAACCTTACAAGAAGGCTGACCCCAAAAGAGGTCTCCACTGACACAGAAAGTCGTCTTCTCACACAAAACTGCACTGATGGGACTCGCAGCTGGTGGCAGATGATGATCTGCTACTAGAAGGAAGAAGAGGGCAGACAGAATGCAGAGACAGAAAGGAGAGGGAAGGCCCTGTGCTGCAACTTTCCGCAAAGAGAAGCAATATCTTCATTGGGACAGCCCCCGCAGCACAGAAGACAGTGATGTAGCCATAAATTTTCACCCTGCCTTCCCATCCCATAAACTGGCACATTCTGCACAGGACCTGACATTACCCCTCTCAGCTGTGGTTATGCAGGGACACAGCAAGAGACACCACTAATGTGCCTTGATGTGCTTGCTAAAGGCAAGGTGGAGAACCTGCCTGTCCCAGGACAGAGCGTACCAGACAAGCAGCAAACACTACTCAACAGACTGTGGGTATTGCTCCTGTACATTTTCTCTGCTGACAAACCTCATTTTTGGGAACGTGACTCCATACAACTTAAGATGACACTGAGTGGAGGCTTGCAAGAAAGCACTGTTAACATGGAGGCAGTGATCGCTCACAAGCGTGGAGAGACTTCATCACTTCTGCAAGCCCCTGTGTACAGATGTCAACGAACTGATTCTATGAACAAATGCTCCATCTGTGAGTGTCTATGCAGAACTCCATGGAAGAACACGGGCACAGGATGCTGAGTGCACAACTAACGCACAACCAGGGAGCACGGGCAGAAAGCACAGAATCCACAGATCTCAGACTGACTGAGATGGAAAGGGCACTCTGGAAGCAATACGGGGGGGGCTTATAAGACAGAATGGAACACACTGTTTAGTGTGGTCTGTGTGACAGAACAAGGGAAAATGGTTTCAAAAACCAGAAAGAGGGGAAATTCAGATTGAATATAAGCATTTGTTTTTGGTGTTTTTTTTTTTTTTACCTTTACCATAAAGGTTAGTGAAGTACTGGAATGTTGCCAAGAGATGTGGTACATGCCCCATTCTTGGGGCATTCTAAAGATCTGGCTGGACTGGGCTCTGAGCAACCTGATGTAGCTGTAGGTTCCCTAGTTAGAGTTGAATCATGACTTTTAAGGTCCTTTCCAACTCTAACGATTGCATGAATTTATGATTCTACTTGAATTCCCTTTAAAAAAAAAAAAAATCTTACCTATCACTTACAAACAAAACAGTTTTAAAGAATTATTATTAAGGCTTTTAAATAGCAAGCTAGAAAAATCTCTGGATAAACCTGTATTAAAGACACTTAAAGGTTTGTGAAAGCACAGACTCTCAGCAACATCAGTCAAAACAATCTCCTGCTGCCTGTCAGGGAAAAATACTGCTCTGTTATTCCCACTGTGTAATATTTACTGGTAATATATTTATTCCTTTTGTTAGCCTAAGTATGTAGTGACTGAAGTCTGAAGGAACACTTCTTATACTGCAGCTATTTAAGTCTCTAAAAAAAAAAATTCAATTAGTAACATCTAGTTGATCCCACTGCTGTAAAATGCATACACTTAAAGGGACCCTTTTTAACATAAATTATAGAAGACAAGCCAAGTAACAGAGGTAGGCATTAAGGCAACTAGGAGTAATAAATCAAAGACCTAGAAGTTTAGCACCTCTTTTCCTCTGTTCACCTATGTTTGCATATTCATTTAAACTCCCGAGCAAAATACAGCCGACTGGATACCAACCTACCACACACAGATTCAAGTCCTGTGCCCACTTACAGACTACATGAAATGCAACAGTCAGATCCAGATGTATTTTTCATCTATCTACTGCAGTGTAAGCCTTCTACATTTGCTTTATACCTTTGCTCAGATGTGGGATGCCTGGGCTCAAGAGTAGTATGGTATGTAGCATTCAGTTCTACTCCAGTTGGTGTTAGATGCTTTTCTTTGTGAAAGCTTCCACTATCTGTAAAATAAAGCTTGGGTCTCTGATGATATTTCATCCTGTACGTGTCAGTCATACAACTGTCTACTGAAAAATAAGTTGTAAGCGATACACTATCATTTCCATCCACATAGCCAGCACTTGGTCCTGTATGATGAGATCCTTTCTTTAAGAAGTTCTCAGACATCAACCAAAAGTCATTAACTGGTAAGCTAGGTGGAGAATCTGGTTTATGAACAAACAACTCATTCCCTTGAAATGGCTCTTTAAGCCTTTGTTCACTTGCAAATACATTTGTTTCTGATGCAGACTTAAAAGGTGTACCTGTTTGTCTTAACAAATTATTCTGCAACGCTTCTGTTGATTTTACATCAGCTACTGAGTTAGTTTCTGGTCCTGGCAAAATATTCAAAGCATATTTCTTTGGAGGTAAAGGGGGAGGAAGATTCTGGTAAACTGCTTCTGGCACCCAAAGAGCATCCACCCGTCGGAGCTGGTGTCCAGCACGCTCACAGGGAGGAGACAACACAGCAGGCCTCTCTGAGGGATTCTGTGGCACAAAAGGTGAAAACCCCACTTTGGGACCAAATGTTCTTGCATGATGAGGCTGTGGTTGGGAAGAAGGGTGAAAGTCATTGTTGATGGGCTTCCTTCCACAGTTGTTTTCTGTATAAGGGTGAGATACACCATCAGCACAATATGCTGACACATTCATTGTCTCAAATCTGTCTGGATTAAGCCACTCTGAAGAACTCTGTTCATTTGCCTTGTTCCTACTGTCTGACTTCACAATCTCTTTAACGACTGGCTGTAGAGCTGATGATGGGAAAAATTTCCTGTTAACCTCAGGCATTTCAGCTCTAAAAACAAAACAAAAAAAAGAGGATGTAAGTATCTGTACAAACATTAATGGCCAAATGACCAAGCACCTTTAACAACAACAGCCCTGGTAACACTGCCTGGATATCCTTGAACTGACTAGAGATCTGGTGTCTGGTTAATACACAGCTGTTTAACTGCAACTTCTATTAAATTACTACAAGCTTCTTTCATCTGAAATGTACTGTGTCCCAAAAAAACCTCTGCAGACAATTAAACAGCCATAATAAGAAAATTCCTTAGAGATTCTGGACTATATCGAATACAAATTGTTTTTCCAAATGTCTTTGTGACTCAGTCTGATGCATCAGCTTTTCAAAAAGCGTCAAACATTTGAGTGCCAAACATGCATCTAGATTCTTGATTTCTAGGAGGTTCTGAGCATTTGCAGTTCCAATCAGAAACAACAGGTATACAGCCACAGCTTTTAAATAGATATAACATTTCCCTCCCTTTCTTGCCAAGCTTTTCAAACCTTTATTGGGTTACTGCGTTAAATCTCTACTTGTTCTATAACACAAATTAAAACCAAAAATATTAAAAGTTGTTGCACTACTAAGATGGTTTAAAACTACCTAAGTTACCTGGGGTTCCATCTACTGAATACCAAAATTAGAACTATTTTTTTCCCCAGGAGTAGAGCTTTCAACTCTGTAAGTTAGGTAAATGCCAAGGGCATCATCTGTCAAAAGATTTAATATCTGTCCTTTTTCACACAGTTAACAGTGATTTCTATCACATTACAGAATTCAGAATGTTTTAGTAGCATTACGTAGTAAATTAATACTAATATTTAGTTACCTCTTTACTTGAGGACTGGGCACCTGCAAATGCAACTCTGTTGGGATATTAACATGAGGTCTGTAGTTAACTTCTGTATTGATAGGGTCTTTCCTAGACTCTGGAACTGGAAAAAAATATTTCAAAGTAAATAGAAATACACTCCAATTTCCTTGTGATTTCTCAGAGGTTAGCAGGCAAACAAAACACAGCAAGAAACAACTCTTGACAGGATCTGACATAAGTCAAAGTAACATTTTTGAAAAAAAAAAAAAAAAAAAATCTTCAGGGAATCAGAACATACATTAGTCCAAAATTATATAGAGCATTTTTTTTTGTTGTTTCCTTTTTGTCAGGAAAGGTTAATTATCACAGTTTTGGAGTCCTATGGACATGCTTTCACACGTTAACACATCACAGTTAAAAGCATATTTTGAGAACAGGTTTTCATACACGTTTTCATACAAGCATTTATGCAGGCAGCCAAAATAAATTTAAGTTAAATATTTCATTACTTATTAACAAAACAGAATAACATTAGATGGGGTTGTTTTGCTTTTTTTTAAGATGGGTTGCTTTCTTCTTTTTAAGATGAGAATTACATTATGCATTCTTGAAACATTTATAAAATGCCAGATAACTGTTACTTCTCTTACAACAATTGTACAGTTTGCAGAGACACTGAGTAGTTAAAGAGCACTCTCACCCACACACCCTAAGCACACAATATTAAGTGTGTGGGCCAGCATTACTACACACACTCTAGAAACTCCTATTCACTGACCACAGAAAAAATTCTTTGCTTTTAAAAATACACTATTTCTGAACAAAGCAGCTCCTATTGAACAGTGAATAAAAGAAGCACTGAAGAATCCATGTTGACACCACACAGAAAAGACTCTCTTGACAAGTGACAAGCAACAGCCTGTTTAAAGACAGCTACTGTAAGTGTTCCTAACACAGCAACTGGCCCACTGTAATCAGCCACCTGCTTCATAGCCTTTCAAAATAAGCTGAATTTTGTTAAGTGTATGGTCTACATCATGCAACTACGTTGCTTATCACAAAAGAACTGGAAATGTACTTTACAAAAACCAGCCTACACTGCCTCAAATAATCTAGCAGATTGATCTCTTGAGTTCAGGGATTTAACTTACCCTCCTGGAAACAAGTAACAGACTGTCCCTTTACATCAGAGATTACAAAAGTTTTGTATCTTTTCTTTCCTGATGTAATCTTACTAAGGTACTTTATTGTTCATTTTTTGATTTGAACATGTTAATTTCTCCAGTTTTAAATAAAGCCTTAGAAGCATTACTTTGCTATGTGAACTTAGTTTTTTTACTTAAGTCAAAAGAATGACAGAAGTTAAAAAAACAAACCAACCAAAAAAACCCAAACAACTCAACTTTGGGCAATGTTGGAGACTTGCTTCAAGGGTCTGTATCCATCCTATCTTCAAGAGAGGAAAGATTAAAGATGCTAAATCTTTGACAAAGGACATAGGTTATAGAAGCCTAAAAGGTGTATACCTGGAAAAACAAAGTCTTCAATATCCCTTTCCTTCCAGCCTCCAAATTAAAAAAAGTTTCTGCTATTCCATCATGGTAAACAGTACCATAACCCTAGAAAAAATGCATATGTGAAAATGTGGTTACTTGAATGAGCCCTTACAGCTGCAAGGGTCAAGGACCTAAACTGGGAGGAAGTCCAAAACCGCTCCAGCAGGCTGTGCCTTCAGAGATAACTAACACTGAGGTAATCAAATAGCAAATATTTCGTTCTACTGCAGATTTTGCTAAGCTGTAAATCCCTTTTTGGAAAAAAGCATAGGCTGTACAACTGCTCCTTAATTCCACAAAACAGTTGATGTGAAAAGCATCCCAAGCCAAACTAAAGGAATGCAGCACATTAGGTCCTTCCAAGAGGCAGTATCATAAATCTGTCAGCAGGAGGCAGCAAAGGTTAGTAAGCTGTTCTTCGCAGTGACCGTGGCACACGTTCAACCAAAATTGCTCAGTGATACCAGGCAATTCGTGCCTCCAGAATTCCAGCCAACTTAAAAATAGATGTGTTATTTTTTCTTCTGCTGACACGAGATCCATGCAAGGTTAAAACCTGGTTCAGAGTCTATTGGGAATTTTGGCTCCAGGTTCTTTGCAAAACTAGATATGGGACACATGAGCACTGTGCTCAGCTAGAGACTGCCAGCCTTATCAACAGGTCATAAGCATCTAAGTAAAGGTAATTCTGGTCTCTCAAATACAAACTGGTCCTCTTTTAAGATTTATGAACATCTACTTTGACACCTGAATGGGCAATCTAGATTTTAAGATCATGAACACACACTCTATAGCCAACAAGTCAAAAAAGAGTTTTTTTCTAATTTCTTAATATACACATACATGTGCAAAATTCTGCAATGCCTGATTTCTACACATTAAAAAATCCATTTCTTCCTATTGTTTTAGCTGCATATTTCCTGTAGTTTTGATTTTTTCCTATGATTTTCTTTTTCAGAATTATGCCCAAATTTTAATTTGTATGGTTTTCTAGTGTGACAAAGAAGTAAAGGTAATCTGGACTCTTGCTGACATATTCATGAGAGCTTCAAAACAATTTTAAATGGAATTGGAGATGTCTCATGCTAGTGAACTCAACAACCATTTCCCCTGCCAACAAGAATACTTTCCACTGAAATTGTCAGAGTGGCAATTTCACAGGTGTGTGCCTTCAGAGTCAAGGGATCATTTTCACAAAGACAACTAAAAGCACTTCATTATTATGAAAATAATTATCAGTAGCTAGCATAGTTATTACTATGAAAAGCCACAAGAAGATATTTTATACCCCAATCCTGTATTTCCAAGAGTTATAGCCACCTTTCTCCAGTGTGAAAAACATAAGGTTGCAAATTCTGCCCCCACACTTTTCATATTATTTGTTCTGCATACACAATAAATACCACCCAAGTTCACTGAACTCGAACATCAAATATCAATGCATAAATAAAAATTAAGAACATTGTATCTGCTTAATATTTTTGTCCCAAAATTTAATCACACAAATTAGAGATTGGTTACGTGGGTCACTCACTTTAGTACTACAGTTATCTACTGCTTACTCCTACAGAAAGAAGCAGCAATTTTATTCGAGTTACCACCATGTGATCCAATGTTACTATCTTTATAATGCTCTAACAATAACTTCATTTTTGTAGGTCAAAGAGAAAATTCCTCAACTACTGGACATAATCCTCATTCAGCTCCTGTTAAAATCAGGAACCAGCAAAAATGGTAGGCATAATTCAGAGTTATACATTATTTTCCTGCAAAGGGACAAGATATTTTTACGAGTCGCTATGCACAGCTACAGAAGACTTCTTACATTTCATCGTACTCTCAGAAACAACTGGGTATTTACTTGAAGTACTATTTTCTAGAAGTCCGTATGGTATTTACCTACCAGTTCTAGTCTTGCCCATAATATTCTGAAACATTCTCATATTCTGTAATATGAGGAGGTATAATAGGTACCTATAAATGATTCCTCCTCCTCCTCCAGGTGTACAGACACACACTTTTTAGACTACCAAGATCAGACTAAGTAAATCTTTATCTCACGTGATAATCAAATTCTTCATTTTTTTCCTCAGCCTGTTAATCACATTAAAAGTAGTTTTGCAAAACACAAACACGTGAGATCTTCACTTTTAATTTAGAATTACATCCTTTTTTGTTAAGGAACTATTAAAAAGTTAGTTACTGAAATAGAAGTACTGAATAGACTGAATAGACAGGACTTTAACATCAATATTCTTTGACAGTTATTATGATAATGTTTTATGATAACTGTAAGGGTCACTTGGAATAGAAAACACTACTGAAGAAATATGATGCAAGGTGAATTATAGCTACATTTAATATATTAGTTTACTGTGTAAGCTAATTAAGAGCCCTATTTCTCATCCTGACAGAGTCTTTCATATATTTTAACTAGTGCTTTCTGTGGGTTGTTTGGTTTTGTTGGTTTCTTGTTTGTTTTTACTACCTAATTATTTTTCACCCTACTGGAAAGTACAGTTATAGTACAGAACTACAGCAGAAAAAAAAACCAGAAAGACAGATTTTTGTGTCCCATGCAAAATTTGTCTTTTGTCATCAAGATGAAACACCGAATTGGTTTTCTTTCTACAACCAAAAAGTAACTGGAATAGCAACAAAGCAGCGGTACGGCAAATCCACCCTCTATGTTAAATTTCAGTCTTAGAAGAAACTAGACTGCACATTCTTCAAATGGAAGTATGATATCTATGAAAATCAAACATTTCCTGGGGAAGTGTCTTAATACTTATTGCGCCGCTTTGTACAAGCACCATTCCATTGTTCCAGCAGCAGCAGATAATGATTTTGGCTGGCCTCATGGTGACCTCTAACATTTATACCGCCAAGGCATTTATAAAAATCCAGTAGACATGTTATTATGTAAAAGGAAGCAGGTTTCCTTATTACAAGTGTTTCTTCCTGATTTTGCCTCATATCTTGTAGGAAAAGAAATCGTAGCACAGCCTACCCAGACCTTTTTTTTTTAAAAAACAAAGCAAAACCCTCCTTACCATCCACCAAAAACACATACAGAACTATTTTGGGGGAAAACACAGGGGGAAAAAAAGGACTTTTTTTTGGAGGGGGAGGGGGTGGGAAGGAGGGGATCGTTTACTTTTGCAGGGACAGGGAAGGGGAATGGATACACTTGCTGAAAAAGCATTAAAATGAGCAATGTTCTCAAAGTGGTTATCAAAGACCACAACAAAAAATTGAGTCACATTTAGCCTTCTGCATTGAATTAAAATCAGAAAGTCTCCAACTAACATCAATGAAAAGGAGTAAAACTAAATGCCTTATGCCAGCACGTCATTCAAAATTCATGAGTACTGGTAAAAAGAAGTGCTCTTAGTGGGGAAAAATAAATGAAATTATGGCAAACTTGAAGCAACATTATAAAGTAAAGGAGATCATCAGAAACCTCTCCATCTTCTGCGAGATATCAGTATGTTAGTATTAAAATTTTGGTATACCTCAATTATTTCTAGAAAGCTCCTTGTTTGTTTGTTTTAAACACAAGTTCTTACCATAGAAGTTTCTGTTCTGCTGAGGTACAGAATGTAACACACTTTCAGCTTTTTGTGTTGACAAATTCTGCTCACTGTAAAATAAGCACAGGTGATTTGAAGGGTTAAACTACTGATGCACCATCACAAACCTTACCCCCTTGAGTGCATTAAGCATAACAACCTTGTCTGTTTGATACTTTGTCTCCCTTTACCACTCTCATGTTTTTTTAATAAAACACTACAGAACATACATAAGATGGAGAGGTAACCCTTGAATACTTTTAGCACAGCTTCCCTTGCACGACAAGCTGTAATGATGCAGAGGAATTTTAGGATGAACTGCAGTCTTCAATACAGACACTTGACAAACATACAGTTCATGAGGATGGTGTATCCAAGTTTGTTCTGGGGATTACACACCCACTCATCCCAGCCCTGCTCTAGAGTACAACAGCAGAACACTCATTATGCAACACAGAAAATAAAAGCGCCTTGCATTATCACAGCAGCCTGCTCAGTAAAGACAGCTGGTTCCCAAAGTTATAAACAATACTAGAGTGATGTGCCATCTGTGAGAAAATACCACCAATTGCACAGAAAACATTTCATACAACTTTCAAGAAGTATGTACTAATAGACAACTGAGAAAACACAACTACTTTGAATGTTTATTTTCTACAGAGATTTTAAGGAGGGGGGAAAAAACAAAAACAGACAACACTAGTCACTTAACTCCAGTTATCTTAAGTGTTCCCAATAATCACCGCTTCAGTGCAGCAAATAATACTAGAAGAATCCTTAGAAGATCATCTATTCCAAAACTCTGCTCAAATTTGATCAGCTAGAGCAAATGCTGCTCAGAATCATGTTCAGTTGGGTTAGGAGCATCTCCATGGACAGAAGCTCCAAAAACCCCTAGAGCAGCATACTTGTTAATGTAATTCATAGTGAGATAAATAAAATTTGGCTACTAACCACTTATTTATTTACTGCCATTTCCATCTTTTTGTCAGGAGCCTGTCCATACAACTGCTACAGGTATGATTTATGAAGACAGTTATATTCCATTACAAATAGCAAGTTACCCAGCAACTAAAAAGTTTGTAACTAAAAAAGTGTAGCAATTACTTCAAATTAACACACCCTGACCAAAGCAGGGCTTAGAAATCCTGGCTTAGCACCATAATGATGAGGCTCAGTACTTTCCCACCAGAAATAGTGCTGCAGCTTCAGAGTTAAGGTAAGATTAACTCCTAAACTGTCTGCATTCATATTTCTAGATGTGTTGCTAGTTTTATACATCCTCAAGAGTATTAAAGTTCTAAAAGTATGCTTACTCGACTGAAACAGCAAATGAATATTACAACTTATTTTCCTGCATAAACAACCTATGTAAATTCTTAAGAGAACTAGCATTACCTGCCAGAAGCACCTTCTTTAATATTTTTGCCATCTGCTGGATTGATTCCTTCAATGACAGGCGAGTCCGGATTTGCTGATCCATTGCTGATATGATCACTGCTCTCATAACCAGATTCTGTCCTCTGAATTTGCCAGTTATCACCATGGATTTTTCTCTCTGCAAATCCTTTGCTTTTTTCAGCATTCCCTTTCCCCTCTGAATCCAAAGAGCTTCTACTTCCTGTATCTTGTTTTGTCTCATCTTCATATATAGTCATTAAACCTTTTTGGATTTGATTCTCTTTTGGCCAATGGTTAAAGCTTCGCTCTTTTTCATGCTTTGATTTGCTGTTCAGATTTGCCTTGTGCTTTGGGCTATGTTGTTTCTTCTCAGCCTCGCTGAAAATGCTGTCCACATTTAGTGTCTCTCGCATGGGTTTCCAGCCTTTACTTCTGCTTCTGCTACTGATGATACTTCCTTTATCCCTAGAGTCTTGACTGCTATCCGTGTCATAGCCAGTGACTCCATCAGCTCGGGTCCTAAGCACAGGTTTCTCACTAGCAGGAAGATTTTCTGTTTTATTTGATCCAAGCACCTGTACAGGAAGTTTTGTTTGGGGAGGTACACTCTCATGTTTATAAGGCCCTCTTCCCTGGCTGCTGTATATGCGCTGATCCATACATTGCCTAAGTCCATTTCCAACTGGAGGAGATCCTGACTTAAAATTGGAACGATCTTCCCCAATTAAATCTAGTAAGAAGGGAGAGAAAAAAAAGCTGCATTTAAGTTCCCACAAATAGTTATTCTTGATTTTATTACAGGTACATACTTTTCCTATGTTATCTCAACACACTCAGTAACAAATTCAGTATATATTTCAGAAAATTAGAAACAGATCTTACAATCTGCTCTTTAGAAAGAAGAATGAAATCCTTCGCTGCTAACACAGACATGCAAATCTGTTTGATTCACTGATCCTCTGCTCAAATCTTTAGAACATTACCTCTTTGTCTCCCAGATTCCCTTCTTGGTCCCCTGTCTGCATCTTTTCGTAGAGATGAGAAGTTTTTCATATCAGTAGCCTTCTGAGCACACTCTCTGGATATGTCCTTCAGCCTGTCCTTTTGATCACCATAAGCTAACTTAGCTGCAAAAAAAAAAAAAAAAAAAAAAAGATTAATTTGTCAAAAATCACTAATAAAAAGCAATTCATGATCAAAATATACAGTAGTATTTATGCACATAACATTTATATTTTAGTATTAGCACTACTTAAAGACTAACAAGTTACATAGCATAGGTTCTTAAGAAAACAAAAGATAGACATTATAGGTACAAGTATATAAACATCTCCAATAAGTGCAACTTTTTTGAATTATAGTAAAAAACTGAAGCCAAGTTTATACTTGCCTAAATGTGAAGTTGTATTTTTAAGGAAGCAGCAGTCACTGCTTAAAAAACAAAAAAATCCTCAATTTCTCAGAAGGTAAACACTATTTTGGACTCATCACCTCATCAAAAAAGAGGCATTCTCAAGTTTGAAAAAGCTTGACAATCCAACACTAAAAGACAACAGAAATGTCTCTGAAGAGAAGCTAGCATCTCCCCGACATGTATTCAGATTTTGGAGAAAAGGCACAGACATGTTATATAGAAGTCAATCCCCAGTATCAGTACTTATAGTTTTCTTTGTGTTGTTATTGTTGTTTGTTCTCCTGAAAGCCTGGGTTACTGACAGAATGTAAATGTACCTTTAGAAATATATAATAAAGCCCTTTTTCTTTTTTTGCCTTTTTTTCCCCCCAAACATACGTATTAACATACAAGACTTAAAATAATACTGCATACATGCCTTTGATCAGACAATATGATTACAAGGCAGAATGAAGAAAAGGCTAAAAGGCCTCAAGAGCCACTTCAGTATTTCAGACATTACTTAAACATCAGTTGCTATTCAAAGATCCATTAAAGACAATGATAGAATTGCTGTTCTGGAAATAGTTCTAACACAGAGGCTAACACATACCTGAAATACTATTAACTACTTCTTAAGCTGTGTACTGCAGTTAGGGGTGAAGGTACATACCTGGACCTTTACCACCACTAGCTTGAACGTGGCTTCTACTGAATGCTGAACTATCTGGCTGAAGTTTTTTATTACCCCTTTGAATAGCAGAATCCCCAATTCCATTCTCTTTTGAATAGTCCGATTTAGGAGTAGAATGCTTCTCACATCCTAAAAGAAAAAACATACTTATCTTTAGAATGAAAGGCTCCCTAATTTGAAATTCCCAGTATGAGAATTCAAAATGTAATTCTTAGTTAACAATTTGAAAACAAAAACCAGCCAATTGAGGGGAACGTGCACAGGGATATGCAAACACCTCCAAACATACCTCCGGATTTATATTAAGCTTTGCTTAAAGTATCTTATAACATACTTTGTTATAAGATCTTTGTAAAAGAGCACTTCTATATGCAAATTTACTGATATCTGTAATAAAAACATATTCCTATCTATAATAAAAACACATGCCCCCCCAGCCCCTTAATCCATGTGTGGGATTTGAGGTGGGAATACCAGCTGAGACAAGACACACAGTTTCAGTATTAAATAAGCACACTAGTCTTTCCTTTTGAGACCCCTTTAGATACTTACCATTGCACAATCAATGAATATTAAGATGTTATAATTACAAAATAAACAAGAGAGTTTGGCAAAGCAGATTATGGTAACAAAAAGAGAACAGATAGAAAGCTTACCCATACCCTGGGCTCACTTACAAAACTCTGGAGGAGGATCTCCAGAAAAGATCCTTCCCCACTGGCAGCCAGCTCTTAAATGGGTCCAGGAGAGGTGCAGCCAGGCTCCACCCCTTCTGGCAACACAGGTGAATTGCCTTCACCTGTGCTCCTCTGGCTGACTCATTGCTTGCCTCAGGTGATTAATCAGAGGTTCAGGCCGTGATTCAGCAGTGCCCACACACCAATAAAAATATTTAAGAACACATCAGCAAATCTACTATTCCCATCTTTAAAGTATTCATTTCATAAATATGGTTATTATTAAAATAAATCTGATTACCTGCATTTCCTCCTGTTGCTTTGCTTTGAGACCAGTGAATAATCTGCTTTGGAGCATCTTCTGGAGATACAGCTGTGCCATCTGGGTTAGCATAAAATAGCAACAACGGCTGAAAGTGACATCGAATGCACCGAGAGACTACATCTTTCCATTTTGTTCCAATCTAAGAAAAAAAGTCATTTCTGTATCAAAACCAGTTCAACAGAATTATGGGAAGAATAATTTAATAAGCATCAGTATTAAATTCCGAATTCTAAAGGTACGTTAAGAATCAGTATTTTAGCACAAGTTTATGTAAGCTGTGGCAAGAAGCTTGAACCAGCAGCACATCAGAATGGTAACATTGCAAATATAGCCATCAGTCATTGATTCTTCTTCTCATAAGAAGGAAAAACTCAACAGCTGACAGGAAGAGCATTAAGAGTCTTAAGTATCTGCTATCTGAAGGAGTGAAGTTGATTCTAAAATTCATTTGTGACAATCGACCTATAAAAATTAAAGTTCACTAAAATTAAGACTCTAACTTGCTTTAATCTTAATGTCAGAAAAAATGTGTACAAGAAAACTAAAAGATCACTGAATTACATAGCAGTAAAGAAGTATGTACCTCTTTCACATTAGCATCATCAAACAGCACCCATTTGCAACTCTTGGTATGAAAAGCAAAGGCACAGTAATGTCGGCTTGTGTAGCAAATCATTCCCACAAGAAAAAGTTCACTGTTTTTGGCATTTTCATCTGTAACCCTATAGAAGAGCTGTAGAAACATTTAGCATTTTTACATGTCCACAGTACATTTAACCTGGATTGAAGACCTACTCCAGCACTTCTAAAATTGGTACTAAATAGCCATTTGCATTATTCAGATTTTCATGAATACAAGTTTCTTGCACTTATTACGTCTATTATATTATTACATCTCATTATATTACTATATCTATATCATTATGTCACTACATTTATCATATCTATTTTGACATTTATTTTTAATATAGTTGATAGAGCAAAACAACAATGCTCTGGAATAATTCTACAAATATCAAATCAAATATGATATACTTAGATTTTCAATTAGGAATTCATCTACATTCATCTTCATTGTTTGGTGTAAGACCAACACATCTGACAAGATTTTTTCCTCTCACAAAAGCTGTATCAAGTAGCACATTACACAACATTAGCCGTAATACTTGAAGCTGATTTTTTAAAAATTTATGTACTTACATAGATGTGCATTTATATGCATATATTAATATTCACATTGATATGTCAGATTAAATTATAAAATAAAGAATTAGTTAATTTAGCTCAGATACCCCAGGAAGATAAAGTTGTGTTGCCAGATTCCGCATAACATCTTCTGTCAGATCAGAGTGTTCTGAGTCCCAAACTAAACCAATTGTAACAATCTCAGGGCAATTCATAAGAACACGACGAATTTTTATTTTTTGACCACAGTTACTCTAGAGAAAGGGAAAAACAAAACGGTGGCAGGTAAACGTTAAATATAAATTTATAATATTAGTTTATAATAAATAATGTTAAAAAAAATGGACCCCCCCCCCCAAAAACAGCCCTGGTATTCTCGAGTTACTAGACAAACAAAAAAACCTCTGAAACTTATTTTGATTTTTATATTTATTTATATGTTATGATGTCAGCTTCTAACAATCTACAGATAAAATTCTCCATCTTTTTTTTGTTTAAAATAAATAAACACCAATAATAAGTACATAAACACCAATGAAGGCTGTAACTAAACTTCTACATCAAACCAACAGCCTGGTCAAATATAAAGCTATGAAAACATTCGATTCACCATCAAGATTTTGTTATCCTCCCCCATTTCATCATTTCAGGTTATTTCTATACTTTATGCACTTTCTGATGATTCCTAAATTAACAGTACTGATAACTATTGATAGTACTATTCAATGAAAGAGAATAAGTTGAAAATATGACTATTTCTATCATTAGAAGCGCCACATTATTTCAATGTAAGACAGTTTTTCAAGCTGTCAGCATATATGAACTATGAACTGAAGGTGCTTCCTTCAAACAATACATTTCTACAGTCCAATCACAAATAACTAGCAGTATATTTAACATGGAGTGAAGTATAAAGCACAGAGTTAATAAGTTTCCAAACAGGCCACCTGAACAATGAAGTTTATCTATAAATGGAGCAACAGAGAAGAATTACAGGCTTTCTTACCCTAAGCTAGACTGCACTGAAGTGGCCACAAGGAATCTTTCAGATGAATACTTCACTCTGATCTAATATCTGAAAGAGCTCTGCATTGAATCTTAACCAAAGTCACAGAATCTCTGCTTACTTACAGGACACTTTCTGTAATCATCAGCAGTATTTGCTGCCTGCAGCAGTTCTGCAAACATTTCTGGCTTGAGACGCTCATGCCTTTCCATCATTCTTTCTACCTCATTACTGTAAAAAATAAATGGACAAATAAAGATGTATTGTCTTCTTACGAGTAAATAATTTGCAGCCAAATCTTAACTATCTTTTGTCTACAAATAAAAAAATCACAGCTAAAACAGCAGCAGCCTGTTGTGGTTTTTTGGGTTTTTTTTTTTTTTTGAGTGTAAAATCTCTCTACATCTTGCTTTTGAAATCCACGTTCCTTTGATACAATCTCAAAAGCACTTATTTCTCTGCCATGGCTTTTTTATTCCTAGGAGGTTGTGTAGAAAACTGAGACATATACAAGAACAAAAGCTCTTACCACAAAGCTGTGGTAGAAATATAACGCACAAATTCCGTAAAAGGCAACGGGTCTGATGATGCTCCACAACTACGGCATACACACTACAAAAATAAAAATCCTGTTGTTTTTATTTATTCATGACAGTGGAACCTAAGTATTCGTTAAAGCATTAATGTCTGACCTGTTCATACAGTGTCATTGCAAACTTTTGATGAGAGATGCAGGATTTTGAAGTGCACATATCTGTGTCGCTGTTTGGCACTAGGTGAAAATGAATCCTCTCAAGGATATTTTCCTAAATAGAAACAACAATGTAAATACAAACTGAATTGATGAAGTCAGAATACATAAGCAATGTTACAGTTCAATATTTCAGCAATTATTCCCCTTTACAGTCTACAGGTTTAATACGTTCATAGCTCTGTCCCTATTCACAAGCAAGTAGATGGAAAATCTCTTCACCTCAAGGCTTTCAAACATAACAAAAGAGCATTAAAGTTATTCAGCTCCAACTTCCTACCATATTATCCTTCAAAATAAGGGAATCTTAAAAAAAAAAAAAAAAATGAAGACAATATTAATTTAATTGCATACAATGCCTGAAATTTGTTCTGCATCAGGCCTCCACCTCAGTTCTTCATACCTGCGCATTTTCTCCATTTATCAATCTGATAATCCAATCATGTTTAGTGTAGCTTATGCAATGAATGACTACTGCTGACAGAGGCCTGGAAAACGCTCATAAATTGCATGTCTTAACTCATACATGGTTTCAGTTTTTAACAGAAGGAAAAAAAAAATTATCCTGCTTGTCATTAATTTGGCCCTGAATCAGCACATCCATTTTCTTCCCTCTGCTGTAACATAAAAGAGTTAACAGGAAGAAGCAGGTCTAGACAGGTAATTTAGCTGATTTCTTCAGGGGTCCAAACACGTTCTGCTTAGACACAACACTGACAAGATTCCCTCTCCTGACTGCAATTTAGTAATCTGCCTGCAAATAATCAAAACAGCCACAGGAGTTCTCCATTTGATTTTCCTACATATTTGTAAATGCATCTGGCAGGTAGCTATTCATTTGTAGGTACTTCCAGATGACGTTCAAATCTTACAGTAATCAAAACAAAAAGCATTTTCAGTTTCTAAAACTGATTTATTTACTTATTTATTAAGTTGAATAATTTCCATTGTCTAACAAAAGACCTCTGAGAAAAGCTTCTTTGACAGCATCCATGTGATCTCGAGTCGACTTTTATGGCTCATAAAAGCCAATAAAGGCTCAAACTTCTCACATATTTCATAAAAGCAGACAGCAACTGCAGCAAGAGTCAAGCTCTTCACATATTCATTCACCCTTGGATAAAAAAGTGGAAATGTCTTCTGCAGAAGACTTCAGTGAAGATAATCTCCCTCTCCACCAAAAAACTTTCAGAAGCTATTTGTCACCCAGCTCATACAGTGCTTCACATATACCTTTGTCTGAGCTACAGAACCAGAGAAGAAACCACAGAGCACATCTAAGACACTCCATCCCGTATTATCAGAAACTTACTCTGTGCATTTTGTCTCCATAAATTGATGAAAACAAGACCAACAGAATTATGCCACTTGTACCCCACCTGCAAATCTAAAGCTATTAAAACAACAGACCAGCTTGGTATCCTTCCCAGAAACCTAACGTAATCCTACTTGACAATTATAAAGTACTCACAAAGCATTCTGCTGCATCATCCATGAATCCAAGCTGGAAACGCTGTTCGTCTTTAAAACTTTCTGCCAGGGCATGTCTCATGTTATCTGATGGGAGTGCTTTTTCTCGACTGTGTTGAAATTGTGAAAATATTGCCTAGGAACAAATACGATTACGTAGCTTAATTAGCCTTGACTACAACTGTAGTTCTGTTCAAATACATCAGCTATCATGCAGCAGGTATATAAAAAAAACTTATGAATATATCCACATTTAGAAATGACTCCTTTCTCTTCAGTTTCATGTTCTCAGTCATTCAATTATATAGTGTTGAGCCACCAAACCATACTTTGATCCAACAGAAAAAACAAACAACAAAAATGAATATAAAAATGCAAGTGATTGACCTTAACTCCCAGAAGCAACATAAACCTTGATCTATAATTAAGGAGTTTGTTTAATCCAGTCACTGGAACAGTGGCTCATGCTCAAGCATTTCATCTTTACAGGTGGAATGCAACTCTTAGAGCAGAACACAGTACTTCTCATTTTAGTTTTACATGTTATTCAGTAAAGAATACATTTACATTACTACTTGAGAAACTTCTACATTCATTAAAATGATGCATCTGCAGAATTATACGGAATGTTGGTAATCCATGTTATTAAATCAGCTATGTACTCACACAGTGCATACAGCAAGGCAAGAAAACAGGTCAATATTTGCAATTCCAAAATCGGAAAAGAAATTGCACTTGATTTTTTCTTCATTTCCCAGAAAAGACAGCTGGCTATTACTTCTCTTTTTTGGCAGAGGTACACCTAACTGACCTCATTATTTAGAAACTAAGGGAGTTCGGGTTTAAAAACTGAACATCAAAAGCCATTAAATGGATGAAAAAACATTTGCAGATATTAAAGGGTTTATTCCACTCTCAAAAATTCTCTGAAGTCAAACTTCACAGAAAAAAAATGAGAAATAAAGACAAAGCAAAGACTAGCCACATAAAACAGAAATAAGGATTTTCATTCTTCACATTGGCTCCTCTGGTAAAAAGTAAACAAAATCTTTGTTTTGCTGCTGGTCAGACAGCAAAGATGCAACAGATATGCAAAGCTTCAGTGTTTATAGAAAGCAGTTTTAACCATAATGCATTCCACTATCTGTCAAATGTTTAGGCTTCCCTCTCATGACAAAAATCATGATTACTGATAAAAATTACACTCACAATTTTTGAATGCTCACACTGATATAAGTTGTTAACAGAGCCAACACTACAAGTTAACTCTGCTTTGAAAATACTTATTTCTCATTGTGGCTGCTAGGTCATTTCTGGTATGCAAGAGAACCTTACATGTCCAGTCTAAAGAAAAAAGTACAGATGAGCAGAATTATGCAGCATATATGCTCATTGTTAGCAGTCTCCACATTTCAAATCCCATTCCAGTGGTGTCTAGAGAAAAAAAAGAGTGCATTTAACTCCCACACCACCACCACACAACAACACCCACAACACAACCAAAAAAAAGTTGAAGATAACTGAAACAGAATTCATTGGCACAGCTTTCAGTTTACAGAATAGGCTCAGAAAAATCCATCTACCCTAGAGTAACACTTGCCTAGAGCAAAAAAGTCAAATTCCCTCAGGAAAGTTTACAAAAATACAGATTGTTTTTTTCAGATTAAATATTGATTTTCATTGGTGAAGTAGTAAGTAAGGTTAAAACAGTCCAAAACCATTTAAAAAAAAAAAAACTTAATAACTTACTGAAATGCATCCACATCCAGAACATACACCACATAAATGTAAAAATGCCCTAGGTGCTGAACACAGAACAAACAGAATCACTCAACCAGTATCTCTAATAAGCCAAGAATGCAAAACCAGTGGTGTACATAATGACTGCGGACAGATACTTCCATATGAGTTAACTACAGCATTTCTGGTTCAATACCTAGGCTACTGGCCATGCAGTTGTAAAGATCACAACTATACTGTTAAAACAACGATCAAGACAATTCCGAACAACTCCAGATCAAGCAGTAAATCTGCTTCTCAGTGTCGTGGGGCACTTCTCAAAATCGAAAGACGAGACAACGCAAAATGTTCAGGTCTGTAAGCCATTTTGAAAAGTGGCACAAGACAACGCATTGTAGAAAGCAATCAAACATCCAAGACACTTGGAAGAATAAAGAAAATTGCGACTCATAAATTGCAGCAGCCTCAGGAAGGAGCTAGAGGTGCTTTGGTGGTAACTTGAAATAATGCAAAACCTATCAAGCATCTCCATATTGCAGTTCCAATGATTACAGAGACAGTATACAGGAACATTAAGTGGCATATTCAGCTTAGGAATAAAACCAAACACTTGTCTTCAGAACTGGAGCATTGCTGGAACAGAACAACTTACTACTTACAGGTTCAACTGTGCTGTGACATAGGTGACATCTTCACATTTCTGAGCACCTTAAAGCTGCTACAGCATTTTTACAATGATTTTAGCAATATGATTGCTCACTATTACAATTCAATACATATTTTCCAACAGTTCACACCATTCAATCCCTCTACATTCCTGAAAGGCAGTTCCAAGGCATCTTTGAACAAGGGAACAGGCCACAGAGCTTACCCTGCATTACAACATCAAATATAAACCTAAGTCCGTACACACAACATGCTCCAAGAAACTAGAAGCTATCACCCCAAGACAGACATAAGATTGTACGTGAAAAGACAGGTACAACTTGAGTTATCGACTGGACTTCCTGTAGTAACAAGACCAAGTGTCAGCAGATAGATTTTGACATGCCTTCTATTTCACTGGAGTTTTTATGCAAGTTCTCTGGAGTAAAAAGTTTTTTAAACGTTGGAAAAAAAGCCTCAGGAAGCTGGTTTGAACATGCATAGTTGTACCAAAATCTACTTCAACTTGTTGGCATTTTAAAATTAACTGTTTTAATCAAATAATTAAAATGGCACCTTTTAAGAAAGCTCCGTTTGGAAAAAGAGATCAATGGACAATTAGCTGTGCTTTACTGCAACCATGACAAACTCTACAAACAGCAAAAACAAACAAATTAAACCAGAATACATAGACTATATAAATCTCCTGGCAGACTAACTATCGCTGCAAACAGTCTTTGCCTCCAAAGGCTTATTCAGTAACAAGGTTTGGTCTGTAAAACTCCCTGTGAGTGAACTCTAACCAGAAACACCCGAGAAGCAACTCAGCATCTCCTTGCCTACAATTTACTATACTCAAAAACCACTTCCTCAAAGAACTCCAATTTTAGCGTAGCTCCTTTCTGTGCTCTCCATGAGTTATTCTCAATTCTGTACACAACACACGTTCTACGTTCTCGTATCAGAAACCCAGAAGTGCCTTTATTGCCAGTGAAAGTAGAAGCTGTATATCACTAAAAAAATTTACATATATGTATACAAGCCCTATGCCTTTTTCCAGTGAGACTTTTATCCCAGTGAAACATGAGATATGACATTTACCACTATTCCCTAGTAACCGCAGGCAGCCAAATACCAGCACAGTAGAAACAGTAAGAGCCTAACAGAACACAATGCTTGCTTCCAGATTTCAGTTTAGTTACAAAACCAAAATGCAACTTTTATACACTAGTTAAGATATGCAGCTCTTACATAATTTCAAACAGTAAAACATCAGACTTCTTTAATTTTCTAGTACCTCTGCATACCTTTCAGTACTTACAAGTACAGCAATTAATTTCTGTACAGTTACTATCAACTACCGAGTAAAAAAGAATCTTGATAACTTTACACTCAGTAATGCTGTTACTCTATTTAAACACTGCATTAAAGAAAAGTGTATGCATGTCAATATGAAAAAACCTCCACGAGGCTGTTATTTTTAAAACAAGTTATACTTATTAACTCTACATACAAGTTTTATGCTTAAGCACTTAGGCTGTATAGTTTGTGTACTGTCAAAGAAAATATTTCTTACAAACATCTGTTATAAATGGCATTGAGATCAAATTGCTTCTACATACAAGAATGATCTAGTCAGACTCATGAATTATAGGGATATAAAAATTACCAGATCTCAGTAAAATTATTTTCCTTTTTTTCTTTTTTTTCTTTTTTTTTTTCTTTTTTTTTTTTTCTTTTAAGGCATAAATGGACAAATGCATGATGATTTCTTAGAAAAGCCTTATTTACCTTCAAAGCACAAAATATGCACGCATCTCCCTGGCACACGTGTCCAGTTAAACCTCTTAAACTTCGTCGAAATATGTCAAGTTGCCATAAAACCTACAAAAATAAAATTGCACAGAAATTAAACAACATAATCTGAAGGTTCGCCATTTAATGAAGTGACATACAGTAGATAATCTTTTGTCACTTTACATACAACATGAGAACCAAGATTGCTACATGAATCAACACCCTTTTTTATTATCTGAGCAAACTGTAGAAGGTTTGCTTTCACTGTTATAAAACGCTTCAGAAGTTTGACGGTGAGATCTACAATGGTACTGCATTTGTATTGGGAAAACAACTGCAATGCTCTTTAGCAAACAAGCAGTAAGCTAAATATTATACAAAGATCGCAGTTGTCTTACGGCTTTACAGAAGAGGGAGAAAACTATTCAATCTACCTTATTTTTCACCTCTCCTTCCTCCATGCCTTCTTTCAAATAAAATTAAGGAAGATAAAGAAACTGAATTGCTAGGTAAACTGTGAAGAGTTTCATTTTGTTCTCTTCCTAAAACAACTGATGAAATAATTTGCTTTTCTACAAACCATAATAATCCACTGGTGCTTTATCAACTTTAAGCTGCAGCATTTTATTTGTATAACTGTTGTACATAAAGGCAACATCAGTTTGGTTGCACTAACTACACTGCTTCTAGCATTTAATGTCTTAGTCCCACAATGTGTGCAGTAGTTCACAAAACAGCCCACAAAAATAAATGCATCAAAAATGAGTTCTCAAAAGGCACAGCTACACGAGTTACAAACCAGAAAAAAAATATTATGTCTATAAATATAAGTGCTAAAATTGATTAGTACTAGTTTGGAAGGTAATATTAGAACCTCAGTTCTGAAGGTTGAACAACAGAGAGAAAAGAAAGGAACACATTCCTCCTTTCAAAAGGGCAGTCACCATCATCACCCACTGTTTGATAAACAGCAGCAAGTTGTAAAGTGGTAGGATTGTCTGAAACCATAACTAAAAATGACTTAGGTTTAATTTTAGGCCACCCTAGGGGAAAATACCAAAACTGAAAAAGAATATAGGTCAGGCTGTTCTCACTAAAAACAAAGCAACAAACTCATTCTGCTGAATCTATCATACGTTTTTGTTTTAAACATACACAGATATCGTATTTACACGATGTGCATCTCTTATCTGCTATGTTCAAATCTATACAATTGTTAAGACTTTATGCTATGGCTGGTTGTTTTTTTTGTTTGCTTGGTTATTTTTTAGGGTTGTTTATCTCAGTTTTTTCTTTTTTTTTTTTTGTTTGTACATTTTAAAGTATGAATTCTGAGCCCCTATTAAAACCTCTGCCACTTAAGCAATTTATTTATTTTATTTAAAAGTAAATAAATAGTTTATAACTATTCAGACTTGCAGGCAACCCAGAAAGACCAGCACTGCTCTGTCACAGAGTTAATTAGATTCCCATATTCCCTGTTGTAAACAGGCTTGTGAAAGACCAATATTTATTGTGCTAATGTTATTGTGCTATTAAACTATACTTTGGAGATCCAAACAGGCGACATTTTTCCAATTACAGTTCATATAAATACAGAACAGTACGTAGGCAAATACTTGCAAGAAGCTGGTCTGCATCATACAAAACCAGCAAAATGCTGTTTATTTCTTTGATATATCTCCTAATTCCATATGACATTCCTAAGATTAGAAGCAAAGCTTGAAAGGAAAGCACTCATGACAATGTACATAAACATAACGTGCTGCCATTTTTGGCAAATTATTTAATACTCACAATCCCTCAAAATCAAATACTAAATAAAATTACTTCCACAGTCTTCTTTTCTCTAATAGTAGCCACCCTTTTTTCAGAAAAGTGAGTTCCCAAAAGACATTGCATTCTGTCTCATTAAGCATCTTTGAGAAGTTTAGTAATTTGAGAACGGAATTTAACACCATTGAAAAATGTGCTGTATTTTTCTGCAGAGCATGCATACTGTGATAAAAACAGTCAAAGCAGCATTTCTGAGAAAACTCTTTCCCTGCTATGACCACCCAAAGCTGCAACAAAATGAGAAACGCACAGTAAATAAAAAAAAATTGCCTTACCTGAACAGCACTATTAAGAAAGCAGCTGTTCTGTCCTGGTTCATTTAATAAGCCTTTCGTAGGGGCCAGGGACAATATACTTCCAGGCTGATAAACTTTTCCAAGGTTACCCCCAGGTTTTCTTAGAAATTTCACCCATGCCATTATTTTCTAGACTTTATATTGCACTGTTCACACTTGAATATTTAAGGATATGATGGATCCAAGGCAAAGAAGGTCCTAAGACAACTGCTCTGAAGTCATGGTGTTCCAGTAACCATTCAGGGGTTTAAGCCCTTATCCCAGGTGTCAGTCATCTACAAGGATCAGTCCATCAGCTAAAAATTTTCATGTGGCTACACTTCAACTGACTTTACAAAAATAAAAAGGAAAAAATATGCTATTAAAAATATGCTGTCCAGTTAAGGTTAAAATATGTTACTAGAGTAAAAGTTCTTGTTAAGGATGTTGCACAGTAACTGACTTCTTCTTTCGGGAATATCAGAGTATTACTACAAATCATGAGTTGTATTAGATCAAGAGTTTATACAGGCATTATACATCTATTCTCTGACTTCCTTCCATCTTTCTACTTTTAACTGCGATCCATGAAATATAATCCAGTTTAGAAGATTCCATGTTTATCTCATTCTTTTTCCAGTGAATCTGAAATAGGAAAAAAAGCGAAATATAAGAATGGAACTTTTTTAAATGTTAGAAACTACCTAAATAAAAAATTGAAATAATGGCTGAAACAATCCCTTAATCTAAAGGGGCATGCACCAATCAGGGAGCAAGAGAAAAAGCTTCCACTCAACAGTCCTAATAGCGTTTGAGACATAAAAATTACAATATTTTATCTGTCGTTATCAGTTACACCCTAACTTATTCTGCAGCTTTTTTAAAGATCACATAATGCATTATTCTAACTTGAAATCTCAAAGTCCAATTAAAATATTATCAAGAAATAAATATTTTTATTTTACATCTGAAAATGTAAGAAGATGCTTTTTATTTCAATATCAAAGCAAATCACATAAATTTGTGTCCACATTATGACAATATCATGAGTGGATTCTCAGTTAGTACAAAATATGGAAAGCTGAGTACTGTCCAGGAATTAATTACCTACCCACATTCTTAAAGCATCAGGAGAGCCACAGCTAGTAGCAGACCACAAACATTCTGATAGCTGTCCTACAGCTGGCTGCCCAGTAACAATTCCAAGACTTTCAAATTGCAGCAGCAAGTTTCTCTTGCTGTTGAAAATACATATTTGCAGGTAAATGACTTCTATGTAAAACATCACCATAGGCGTGCTTATAGCACGTATAACAGTCTCCACAGAGCAACGAATTGGCCAGCTAGTGTGATGTTATTAAAATAGTCACATAATTACTTAAAGGACAGAACTGAATAAACTGAAATAAAACAAAGCAATTATAACTACATATTTGAAAAAAGTGCAACACAACCTCTTACAGACAAGCTAGTCATTCTAGATTTTACAAGCATGTGAGATATTATCAATTCATCATTACACAGCAGAACTTGCAGGATTCCCACTATACTTTCTTCCACCACATAAAGCTTTTAAGATCAGCATTCCAAACCCAGCTAAATACAGCAGTCCAACAACAAAAGCTAAGTTGACTAAGATGACTTCACTGGTTCAGAGCTACCAACAGCACACTCGTGTCCAGCAGTTCTACAGCACTCAAATACTGTACAACTACAACACCACAGAAATGTATCATGTGAGCTTCAAAAATAATGCAGGAAGACTTGCACCTCTAAAACCTTTTGTATGAAAGAAACATTTACACTTGCTTGTATTATTAAAAAGAAAATCAATAACTGGAACATAACCAAAAGTCCCTTTTGCCCAGCACATAATCAGATGCTTTCTGTTTGTTTACTGATGTTACTCTATCTCACCCGTAAGTAATTTGATTTAATAATACTGGAAGTAGTAAGTCTGATCTGTGGCAGCACTGAGCAAAGAATCCAAAATCTAACTGGAAACTGACCTTGACAGAGTATCATGGGATAATTGCGCTTTCTTTGTGTTCACTGCAATAAACCCAGAAGGAGGGGCAAAAAAACCCCATAGTAGATAACTGTAAACATAAATCAGTTTAAAATCTTACTAGAACCCTAAATTAAAGGGCGTATCTACTTCAAATTCTATTTCCACATGGAAATCACAGTGCTACACAGCATAACAGCTAATATTCTACAAAGAAGCAAGCACAGGTGAAGGTACAAGTAAAGCAAGGATGACAACAGAAAATGATTACAGAGCGCACAAAGCGAGGCACGCAGAGGTCGTAACAGATCTGCACAGAGCAAGTAAGTGAAGAAAATATTTCCAACAAATACTTTCATTGAAAAGCTTCACTACAGTATAAAATATAGTAATAAAAAGCAATGGCTCACTAAAATAAAGTTAAATAAAGAGAAGCCAAGGAAAAAAAATCCAGGATGTACAACTGGTTCTAACCACTCACCCAAACACACATTTATACACACGTGTATCGCTGTACAGGCACACATACATTGGGAGCCAGCAACTCGCACTGAAAATGCCTGGCGCTGTGAATCAGCACACGGATCAAAGTCTCCTGCTGCTCAGTTAGAACAGTAACTTTTAACTCCTAAACAAATTATAAATTATCTGTTTAACTATGAATTAAAAAAAAGCACAGACGTTTTACATTCAACTTTCAATTGCTAAAATATTTTCTTCCAATTTCTGATTTAGAACTTCTGTATCAATGCTAAAAAAAAAATGGACCTACTACATTTCTGTCATAAAGAAAGCTTGCTCCCGAAAGTAGTAGGGAAACTTCTTGAGCGCCTGCTTGCCTGTCAGTACGGACTTCTTCATTCCACTGTACATAATTTCCCATATAGAGAAATGTTGGGGAAAGTTTTCTCCAGCTTCCTGCTGTTGTATCAGAAAACAAAACTAAACACCAACTGGCGATTTTTGGTAACTGAAAGTATCAATCGAGGCACATTGAAGAGGAAACAAAAGGTGGGAAAGACTGGATAGGGAACATCTGAATGGTCTGGAGAATTAAAGCAGTGGAGTATTCATGCTGCAAAGCATACTCAAAATATCTCCTGCTGCACCACCTTTGAAAACACAGTCAGGATGGGTCTGACCCACAAACATTAGGCTTGCTATTCGCCCAACCAAAACTACATTACTTCTTACTACATAACACATCTCCAAAAGCTCTCCAACAGAGGGAATCCTCAGCACAGGTGATTCAGCTTTCCTGTTGACTGCGGTTCAAGGTCAGTACTGCTCAGCCTACAGCAATGGAGCAATAGTAGAAAGAGATGGAAAGTAAAATAGGCTGTACATCAACATTAGGATTGAAGTCACAGGCAAAATATGTGTTTCTAATACCTAAATTTTGCTTGAAAACACACCTTACAATATTCAACTACAAATGCACTGGAGGAGTTTGTGAAGTTGGACTACAGTTGGTTACGTAAAGAAACACAAAGAGAAGAATTCCAAGATTCATCTGCAGAAGAAAAAAAAAAAAAAAGCTTGTTCCGTGAGTTTTTCTTTATCATTTGAAGAGAAGGGAAACTTAACATGACTTGGGCATGTCATTAAACATACATCTGTTTCACAGAATCACAGAATTTTAGGGGTCAGAAGAGGTCTCCACAGATCATCAAGCCCATCTGCTTTGCTAAAGCAGGTTCCCTACAGCAGGTTGCACAGGTTCACATCCAGACAGGTCTTGAATATATCCAGAGAAAAAGACTTTAGAAAATGTTCTGCTTTCTAAATGCAGAACAAAGATAAGGATCTTCTACACAGTAACTTACAGATAAAAATAATGAAGTAATTAGGGAAATATTACCTCTAAGATTTCATTCTCAGCCTTGGGACTTACATCAGTGATAAGGGTTGAAAAGATCCCATTCATTTTTATGTTGCTTTCTTACCATACTTTCAAGTATCACTTCCCCATATTTTAGAGCAGAAGACTTACACATGGATATGGGGCCGAGGGAATGGAACAGGGTAACTCAGAATCCACCTAGCCTGTATATTTTAACTGCTAGTACATTTTATTTGTGAATGAAACTCTACGAAAACAAGACAAGAATTGTTTATTCGCTAACAGCTTCTGTAAAGTCACTTTGTTTCCCACTTCACTGGTACAATAACATGCAACTTCCATGCACAAAGCATTGGGCTGTTGGGGTGGGTTTCAAAAAAGTTATGGCTCACTGTGAGAATTTCAGGGAAATGGTTCTTTCTTAGCTCAACATCAGCATCACATTACATGAAGGTGCATGCTGTTTAATTTCACATCCACAAAGCAGTGAATACAGTTTTTCAGTTACCCACCAGGTAGACACCCAAATAGCTTATAAGTAAAACAATATATTGCAGAACGCATTTATTGCACCATTTTCCACTCATTTTCCAGAATACTGTTGTATTACAGCCATAAAACCTCTTTCAACAACCCCACAACATCAGTACACCTTTCCAAAAAAATTTAAATGCAATGCTGGGAAAATCAGGAGTGACTACTTTAAGGTTATCCTTATACAACCTTCTAAAATTACTCTCTGGAACTGCATTCTTTAAAGCACATATGTCAAACTAAATAACCTACTCAAATATGCAACAATTCTTTTTAAAAACTAAACTGAAAAGGACATAGCAGATAGCTTCTCCACTTAAAAGCTGTTTGCAACTATACTAAGCTAGGAATTATACAAAGCCGGTACTGCAGTCCCTTTGTTTTATTAACTACCATCTTTCTCCTCCAGAAGGGTCAGACTTAAATCCAGGAACAGAAAATAGCTGAGTAATAATTCTACTCAGCACGCTTCTCCAGACATCAGATTGTTTAGTCCTACCTTGGGGTGGGAAATCCCACCGATCTTCCTTTCGTCACTAATAACCCATATCAAACATTACGTTGCACCACTCCTCATTCACTAGCAAGAGGGGCATTGTAGAAGAGCCGTCCAACAGAGCTATGAGCAATATGATTAACATTTGTCACACATTTACTTTTGCAGCCTCTGCCTCTCCCTAAGGAAAGTTTATAGTTGAGAAATTTAGATCACGCATTCAAGGGCTTTTTTGATTTGTTTTTCTGAGGAAAAAAAAAGCCAAGATTAAAGACAGCTATTGCAGAAGATGCTGGCACAGATATATGCTTTTTAGTCACAGCAAACTTTGCCTGATTTGAACCATCCACGAAGCACATTATTCCCTACACTCAATGGAGGCCATTCCAAACATCTGAGAAGCAATGCTGCTGATCAACTCAAGACCACTGACTCACTTGACCTAAATTCAATCTTCTCCAGGCTGTAATTAGGAGCTGAATACTCTTCCTTCATATCCAAGTAAGCCATTATTGCACTGCAGCATTTATAAAGGACCTTTAAATTTCAGTGGCTAATAAGTTGTTGGCTTGAAAAGGTGTGGGTGGCTGAGGATTGATTGTAATTCATCCAAACTGTACAGTCTTCTAGGAGTCCAGCCTTTCAGCAAAGCACGTTTCATACGATGTTAATTAACATGCTACGGAAGATTTTTATCATCTGGAACTAAAGAAATATTCTTGCCTTTCGGCCTAAAGGGACAAAGTTTGGATGGCAACTCTCAACCAAAGGAAAAAAAAAAAAAAACAAAATCATGAACTTTTAAAGCAACTGCTATTTATCAGCCTAAGTTCTTCCACTTTGCTCAGTTTTAGCAACTGTTCCTCAGTCATCACTGTTCCCCATCAAGCATCAGGCGACCATTAGCTGTGCAGACACACGGGACAAAATACATTTCTGCCATTTATCTTTTTGGCTCCCAGAACAAGAAATGCACTAATCTACAGAAACGCACACTTTCACCAGTTTCATACGAATACCCTGGGAGTTAATCAACTGTGGCTTGCACAGCCTTTTCAGTATAAAACACTGCTAAAGTAGTGTAGAAAATGGCATAGTTACTACTTCACATCACCTACTTTCTATAAGCACATTTGAGTTTAGACATCTTTGGAGTGCACTCAGTTAAAACTGGGAAGATAAACAGTGGGTTCTATGAGCGCTGCAACTACGAGTGCTCTTTACACACTTACGTCTCATGGGTTACTGAGTCCTCCAAGTCCTAGCTGGCGTACATACCAACTCTGCTCCCTGCATCTGCTTACAAGCTCTCTTTTTTCCAGCCAGCTGCCCATTTTCATGTACTCTGTAAATGCATAATCATTGTCAGGATTTCTATAACTTCCATTAAATTGGGTAGAAACCTGCCAATGGGCTCAGAAATTGTTGACTGTGTCTGAAATTTGGCTGAAGAATCATCACTTACATCTCAGTCTCATTTTGCAATGCATTCCAGTGTGTTGCATAGATGAATAGTGACAAACAGCTTCAGTGTCCAACAACGAGGTTACTTTTAAGCAATACAGTTCTTTGCTTCTGCTGGTAGCTCACACCTCTGCACTGAGCTTGGCAACCTACTCAGTGATTTGAAGACTCCGGTAAATCAGTTTCTTAACTGATAATTTGTTACAACTTAGGAATTTACATATATTTAGAAAGAATAGAGACTAAGTGTATTTGGAAGAAGAAAACGTACTATGGAAAACTGCCAGACTTCAACACTGAGCTAACACTATTAGGACCGATGACACTTCCAACCCCCCCAACCCCCCAAAGGACAAAATTCATCAAAAATCTAAAACCTTATGATCATGAAAATTTGAATGTTTTTGTCAGTTTAAAGCTTGACATTTAAAATGACCAAATTTCATCAACAGATCAAAAAAAATCTTTATACTGTGAAAAGGCCACTATAAAAATAACCAACTCAACGTTTTGGTCACTGTAGTAATCTGTCCCCATCTTTATTACTGCACTGAACTGTATGTGACAACAGATCTCACTTGCTGTAATATACATCTAATGCTCCTAGTAGTCCTTAATTTCTGTTTGTCTACAAAAGCCCTCAAATTACACGCTTATAAAAATTTATGTTTTCAGTCTTTGAAACATCAGAGCAAAAAACCTTTCATTGATAACAGTGCATACTTGCAAGTCATGATTTGCAACAAGAACATTACTGAAACCAATTAACGTACATCTCCAGCTGTGACAATCAGCCCTGATTTCATGGGGTAACGGCAAGTACACCAGCCAGTACTATTGGTCTGACACATTCCTTCTACCTTCCAACACTGACTCAGAAAGTCTCAGGAGGCAAAAGTGTTATTTCAAATCTTCTCTCTCAAAATAATTCCACCCAATGCCTGAAGACCTTAAAACCAAACTTTTCTTCTATTTTAAATATCTCTATTGTCTCTTCTCTTGCACACATCCATTTAGCAGTCCCTCAAAAGCTAAGTCACTGCTCTGTGATGTCATATTTATTCATATCCTTTCAGGATGGGAAAATCAAAAGTGTAGATGCTATCACAGATGGCTTCTGTAAAAGCATACAATTTTTTCTTTAAACTGTTCCAACGAAAACTTTCCTGTTTGCATCTAAAAGAAAACAACAGGTTCATAGCAGCATCTCTCAACCGCTGCAACTAGGAACCAACTTTAGAAATAGCCACAATGGCAACTCTGAGTAAAGATCTTAAAGACAAATTCCCAAGACATGACACGAGCCAGTATTTACAGTGAATCATCATGCAGAGAAACTCACACTAATGAATTCACATGGAGAAGCAGGACAGAAGAGGCAGAGAAGGAAGCAGTGTGTCTCAGCTATAAAAAATTTGGTGCACAAATGCCCTAAAGCAGCAAGTTATCTTTGAGTTTTCTCATAATAGCATTTCTCCCTACTGAATTCAAGTATCAGCATACATTAAATATCAGACCTATCAAGATCTCAAACCAATCTGAATGTGATGAAATCTCAGGAGTGCTATTCCCAACCATCCTCACTCTCAGCCACAGAGATATATTATTAAAAACAACAACCTACAGAGATTTTTGTTTCTGCATCTTCTCAGTCATTTATGAAGTGTTTTGTTCTCTGGAATGTTTGATAATTAACAAATGTGAAAAACACCCAGTTTTTATTTCTTCCCCCAAAGCTTTCTTTCCACAACCTTTTTTCCCCCTCAGTCCACACAGCTCAAACTCCAACCAAGTCCATAACCTTGGTACAGCTTCAGCACATCAGCGTTTCACCATGCCCTGCCAAAATCCAGCTTGTTTCCATTTAAGCCAAAAAAGCATTTTTGAAGAAGTTTTTGAACAGATTTTGCTTCTGTTGCCATACTCCTCAAATGACGGAGCTGATTTTACTGCATCCAGCACCAACAGCTGAGGAAAAACTACCCAAGTGTTGCAATCAAGACCTTGGAAAGCAATGGAACTGAAACGTAACAGCACTAGCATTGGCCCTGGAGCCCCATGGATCCCACAACCAAATAATCCTGCTGCCGTATACCACACATCCCATATGACTGGAAAAAGATTCTGCACTATCAGGTAGATAGAAAAAATCAAGTACATTTTTGGTGTTTTTACTGTCAACATCCCACTGGTACAAAGTAAGAACTTTTTACAGAAATAACTATATTAAAAAACCTGACAAACAGTAACTATATCTTACATTGCAGCACTGGTAAGGCAGGAGAACATCACTTGTTCTTTATTCAGATTAACATGCATTCAGATTACAACAAATGCTTGCTGTTTCGATAGCAAAAGTCATCACTTCATGACAAGACAAGACAGGGACAACAGGAGAAGGGGCTGCACATCACCAGTTAGGCACAACACCATTCATACGACCGAATTTTAGCTCTTAAAATAACCCCAAAACTTCAAGGCAAAACACGTGCAGTACAAAGGATTAAAAGGAGGTACGTAAAAACCACACTTACTTTGGAAAGAGGAAAAAACGCGCTGAGAAAACGAGACGTATTCCCCTCGGAAAGCGTCTTTTAACGTATTTGCATTGAAAATCAAAGCAGGGGACAGCCGCAGCGCCGGGTGCCGAGCAGTTTGCAGCAGCCGCCCGCCCACCTGCACCCGGAGCGCTACCCGAGCGACTGCAAACGCTGGGAACTGATTGAATTTCACCGAGCTCCACGCTACCTGCACTGGCATTTCCTGTTCCAAACACTCCGAAAACACCCCAGCCGAGCTCGCTGACGGGCATGTGACTACCGCGTTAAACATTAACTTCTGGCCCCCAGCGACACAACCCCCGAGCTCGCCCCGTCCCGCACGCAGTCCGCGCGCTCTTCGGAGCTGAGTATCGCCGTGCCGGCCTACCGCCGCTTACACAACCCGAGGAGCGGGGACAACACCAGCCGCTCCGTGCGGCACTACGACGGCCCCGGGAGGCGTTCAGCCGCGGTACCGCGCCGCGCCCCCAGGAGACGGCGGTGACCCTCTCCCCAAAGACTCCGCGCGGGACGGGACCCGCGGTCGCCCGCCGCCCTCAGACGAAGCGACCCCAGCACATCCCGCCCCATCCCGGATGGGGGGGGGGGGGTGTCCTCGTACCCCATTCCCGGCTCAGATCCGCCGGGGCACCCCGCCTTACCTCTCTTCTCCGGCGGCGCCAGCTCGTGGCTGCTCTCTCGCCCCCTCCCGGCAGAGCCTCCAGCCACGGTCCCGCCCTCACAGCAACTTTTGCTCCCCCCTCGCCGCACCCGTCTCCTCCTTCCTCTCCCCGCGTCTCGCCTTCTGGGGCAGCGCGTGCGCGTGCGCCCACCCCGCCTCGGGAGCCGCCTACGCCCGGCTCGGCAGCGCGCACGCGCGGCGGAACGGCGCCGTGGCCGGGGCGGACAGGGTCTCTCCGCGCGTGCCCGGCGCCAGGAAGAGGGAGAATGGGGGAGGAGGGAGGAGGGGAGCGGGCGGCGCCTGGCTGTGATCGGAAGAAAGGCTGGGCGGTGACGGGCCCGGCGAGACGTCTCAGTCGGCGTGCCGCGCGCAGGCAGCGTGCCTAGTAGGCGCGGTGCAGCCCGCATCCTTCGCGTCGACGGGGTCCTCGTGGGGTCGCGCCTCGCGCTTCCCGCTTCTCGATTCCCGCCCGCTGGCACGAGGTGGGCGCGCGGCCGGCCCTGAACGCTACCGCGCGCTGAGGAGAGCGGAGATGGGGCTGAGGCTGCAGGGCGGCCCGCCGTGCCCGGAGGCCGAGGCAGTGTCAAGCTGAGGGGCTGCAGCACCCCTTCTTTACCCCCTTTCTTAGTGTCGTTCTCGGCGCATCGCCTGCGTGCGAAGGGCGCGATTATCCGGTGTGTGCAAGCAGCGCGGCCGTGCCCCAGGTAACTGAGGGAGCAGCTGTAGGGTTGCAGGCCAGGAAGCCGGCGTTGGGGCTGTTCCAAACCACCGGTTTTTCGTGTTAATAACCTGTTAAAAAGAACGGGGCAGCGGTTGCTTTTCCAGCAATTGTTCCTCAGCGCTCCTTGCAGGATGTCTGCCCGCGCACGTGGGCTCTGCTGAAGGTGCCCGTGAGGTAACGCGGGCGCAGGGCTGCTCCCGGGCTGAGGGCGGCTGTACATCCCAATGCTGCACTGCGTCTTGGTGCCGCGTTGCTCTCGGACGCTGTTCCCTATCACCTGAAGAGCTGCCCTCGGGTCGTTGCCCCGAAGTCACGTGCCTATTATTTTACCTGCTGTATTATTTTGTGGAGGGTGGGGTGCTTCCTTTTGTTGTTTTCAGAAGGAATTACTTGTTTGCGAATACTTGCATTTATAGTTGCTTGAGTGCTTTTAGTGGTTTGCTTTTATAGTCATCGTCCTGGATAAGCGCATGGATTTCATCAACGCGTTTCAGTTCTCCACTCATAATGATACTTCACCTATCGCCGTGCCCAGGATCAGTCTTTAGCACACAACTTCTTACATTCCCACTTTTCCAGTTGCCTTTCTTTATGATTTTTCAGGGCTTGAAGAGTGCTAATGTGACAAAACGTGTGGTCACTTTCACTATGAACTCTTCTGCCACATAATCCTTGTCTTGTAAAGTTTACTGCCCTCACTGTTAGATCTCCAGATTGCAATATTTCACTCTTAAAATACTGTGTGGGACTCAAGGTCCTGTGTCAGATACCTCACTTGCTTACGAGGACACCATACTTGAGTTAAACTGTTATCCACATTCATAAAATTCAGTTTTAATACCTTTTGATCAGCCTGATCTTGCTAATGTCTCTTCCATTCTGCTGCTTGTGTAAAAGGCATGCTGGCAAAGGCAATTTCCTCAAGGTCACTCTCCAACCTTTATGATCAAGCAGCCAACTTCTTACTTAAAAAAAAAAAAAATAAAAAACAAACAAAAAAAAAACCCAACCAAAAAAAAAAAACAACAATCAACCAACCATGATGCACTGAGAAGAATTTCAGTTAAACTGTCAGACTTTATATTTTTATACCTGTCTCCACCCTTTTCTGTGATTTGAATAGTCATATTCTCAAGTGGAAGGGTTTTAATACAAGATTAATGTGAACTTCTTCCTTGTGACTTTCAGATGTTTCGGATGGTAATTTGCATGTAAAAAATACCTGTTTAAGAATGTATACATTTTTGACAGAAAGTAATACAGTGCATTTCCTGAATTTTGTGGTTTTTGAAGGGCATAGCTTCTGTGATTCTCCCATTGTCCTGAGGTTCATCGAGTATCTTGGCACAGGCCCCGTGTTCTTATGTAGTTTATGTAGTACTGTACTGGCTGCTTACTGATAGGTATTTGAACTCCTAGTTTTTGCTAGAAATTTTGAAGTGAAGATGTGTTAAAGTCAGCACGTTAATTTTGCCACCAAAAAGTCCAATTTCATGTCAGAATATTTTGTTCTGGTATGTTTATAAACAACCTTCTGCATATCATTTTACTTAGTGTCAATTTAGTCTTTGATCCCTGCATTGCTTCTTCGCAAAGGCAGTCATGCAGAAGCATCTGTGAATCCCAAAGAAGGATTATGACTTCATTGTGATTATGACCTCATTTTGATATTTTTGTTTCTCCTGTATGCTACTTTCTTGTTTGCCTTTGCCCTTTCCTCAGCACAGATTTGTTTTTCCTTGCTGATCTATTTAGAAGTCTCTTTGGACATATGCTGGTTTCTTCTGTTCTTTTTTTTTTTTTTTTCCAGAGGAAATGTAGTCTGTGAGCTCTAATTATGGTATATTTTAAGGTTTTCTACCAGGGAATCTTAAGAGAGTCTCCCATGCAGTTCAGATGGATAATGACACAGGTGTGGCACAGGAAGCCCTAAATGAACTAAAAGAAGAATTTTAAAATTAGAGTAAGTGATGCAAATGCAAAACAATGCTGCAAGGGCAAATTATTTCCTCTTGTAGTACAGGATATGTGCTATGCATGATGCAGGGATGCAGAAGAATGTTTACATATTTTTACTTCAGATGTTTATGTAAAGTTTGATGGTATAAACAACATAGGTTGCAAAACCAGAGAATTGACTGGGGAATTAAACAAGTATTATGCTTAGAGAAAAGGGATCCAGAATAAGGTAAAAAAGGTATTCACATCCTCACTAAGGATTCTACTTAGAAATCCAGCCATTCAATTTAGCTCCAGGCTGACTGACGAACAAGATTTTCAAAAGGAAGGAGGAATGATGTGGTGGAATGGATGGTTATGGGGATGCAGTTGAGAGTGACAGATGGACTCTGTCCAGATCCTTCAGTACATCCAAGGGCTTGGCTATGTGCATTTTGAATCCAGGACAAAATATACGTAGGGGAAGTTTGAAAGAAAAATCTTAGTATAGTTAGAAGGCATCCAAAGGTTTTAAAGTAGTTGTATTAATTAACTTTTTCTCAAAACTGCAGGCACTGTACTTCTTTTTCAGTGATGAATGGGATGGAAATCTGTGTTTCACAAGGTTTATTCATGTGTTATGTTTTTACATTGTGATTCATGGTGCTGTTGCCACTGGCCGGTCTGTAAATAAATTCAGATTTCTTCATCTGAAATAACTTTTTTGAGTCATGTATTTTGAATATGCAATGTTTCTATGAACATTTTCAGATCTGTGGCTGTCCCAGAACACTTGTTCTCAATTTGCTTTTGTATTTCTTCTTCAACACTTGGAACGTCTTCACAACAATCCTGTCGAACAGTTACTATCCTCTTCAGATGATTTGTAAAGAAATGAGATCTGCTTTAACTTTCCCTTGAAGGAGTAGAAGACTGAATCTGTTGTTTTGAAAAGTGAGTTAAGTATATTTTATTGAGTAGCTCATATATTTGTTATTGTTACTATTGCTCTTCTGGACCGACATATCTCACCATTACACGTTATATTGCCTAGTATGGTCCCGTCTGTTTAACCAGACTGGTTGTTCTACACAGGCAGTAGTGGGGTAATGTTTGATTAAGATAAAGGTATCTTAAGATGGCTGTATTGCTAGACTACTTACGAATGCCTAATTTTCTATTTTCTCTAAGCCTTTGGGGTGTCATCAGATCAAGTCTATGCTTTTTGCCAAGGGATGAGAAAATAACGTAAGTATTCCAAGACTTTATAATACTGCAAGAGTTCACTGCAGTAAGAAAAACAGATTGGTAGGAAGAAGAGCTATAAGGGAGTAAAGTAACCAGAGGAAAAATATATTGTTTTTGTTACTTAAAACATCGTAATCATATATGCGTGTGATTTCTAGGGGTGCTGAAAGGACATCTTGACACTTGAGTCCAAGAGCTGTTCTCCTGTTTGTTTTGCTTAGCTGTATTATGACAAAAAGATCAAACACAGAAGTAGAGCAAGTAAAAAATCTCTCTTAAGCTTTCAGGAAGTTAAGTAAGCACACGTTCTTTTGTGGGTCACTTTACCTAGGTGTATTCCTTGTGTTTCCCGTACCATGAGCACATGTATCCACAACCTTTTCTTTTAAAGGCACTCTAGCAAAGTTTTCTTTTAAGTAGCTTGTAGCAAGCAGTCACATGGAATGTAGTCATCTGAGTGCTCTCTTCTTGTTCCCACAGCATGTACAGAGGCTAAAATTTATACACACATCCACATCCATTTTCTTCTTCCAGACAGGCTAGTGGAGCATTTCTTTAAAGACTGTCTCAGGCGGACAGGTGATGCTCAGTCAGCTTGTTTCCCACTTCTTTTTTTGGCCTCTCTGGAATGCTATTTTTAAAAAGCATTTTACTAGCCTTTCTGACTGTATTTCTGCTTATGGACGTGCTGCAGCTTCACACACACAGGAGAAAGCACTAAGTAAGGGCAAAACGTACAGAGGTAAGGACACAGTGAGCAGAAGTATAACAGAAGAAAAAGACTAACAGAGGAAAATATGAAATAGTGACGACAAAAGTAGAAGTGCAAAAGAATAATGAGACAGGGGTTAATATCAGCAGTAACAAGAAGGGTAGAAAATACTAGCACATTAGAAGACATGAATGAAAGGAAATACTTGACCACTTCTTGAACTAGCATTAGACACACCTTCATAGGGCATAAACACACTAACTTTTAAGTTCTCTTCCTTTAGGTGCAGAGCAAACAGAATGTATTTTGCTCTTACACTGTATGTTATCCTGACCATTGCCAGTAGTTTTTCTAGTGCCAAAATGTTCAGTAGGCTGATGGAAGCAATTTCACTCTGAAGTCATGCAGAGTTTCATGCTGAGAGTGAAAAAAACATTGGTTT